AATCCTACTCTTCGAGGCAATGACAAATGGCAGCAGGCCGTCGAACGGCGGCGGGAGTCGCACTTAATCGCGCGCATTATTATAAATTTGCCGCGTAAATTCAAAATTCGCGATGAACTTAGATTATTTCACTTAAATATCGATTTGCAACATAATAATTAATAATAATATTCATTCTCACTGTCCACAAAATGTCACAGAGTTGTAATTCGTGTGCTCGAACATGATGTGCATGAGGGTAAGCGCAATTACGAAAGCCACTCTAGAACTAATTACCGTGTGTACCTTATCCATTCAGGAAATTACGAAACACCGGTATGTTTTTTTGTTGTTCATTTTTTTGTATGGCGTTCTTAAAGCATTTATCCTCAAGTTTAGTAAACAAAGAAAGGTAAAAAGAAGCACTCGGTTTACTGAGAAATCGAGCGTGTGCAATCGCACAAATGAAAACTAGATTAAAACAACTTATTGCATAATTTCGTGAAATAGCGTATGTCATCGGAAGCGTTTCTATCTGGGACGAGAGAGATATTTCGATAAAGATTTGCCGATTCCGTGAAATTATTATCATCATCATCATTATTATTTGGTTACGGTATTCGTTGCGCAATAATCATCCGCACTGAACAATCGTCGAACGAAGCGGATGAGTATTAGCCTTTAGCCAATTGGTTATGTTTAATGTAGATGCGATTTGTAAATAATTGGCCGGTGATATCACCTGCAGTCGTTCTGCTAATCCTGTCGGCGATAAACTCAACAACAAGACTTTTATCCATGTAATACCATGGGTTTGCGCTTGTAATAATGTTTTAATTATGCCTTTCTTTTTTTTTTGGCTGCAGCCGTCGGATAAGATCGAGGATCCGATAACGATTTGACTAATTCGTGTGTATGTGAGGTAGGTCGAGAGTCTGTGAGGTTCTCGGACTTAAATTATGCAGTCGGATGATAAGGAATTTGTGATCATATAATGTAAGAACTGGTCAAAGATATTACGGCGACCCCGGAGCCGAGTTCTGCATTGTTAACGACTTGAAGAGAAAAAAGGTGCACGTCGGAGATGAAAAACAGGACCGAACTGGGCAAAAAAAAACAAGAAGGAAGAGCTAAAACCCAACAACCTCTGGGTAGCATTTCCATTTCATTCAGACATCTAAATTTTATATCTACCAAAGTACTGCGCCTGTACCAGTGGCGGAACAGGTTCCATTCCTTTTCTTTGTTGTATATGCTTACCTAAATTGATTATATAAATGTGTAGTGAAATCATTTTAATTTTGTTAAACAATGTCAAATTATTACGGATTTTGCACCTCGTCTTTCGACCGAAAATTAAAATATAATTTGTTGTACCAATCAAACTATTAAACAATATTAATATATGTAATTTAAATGTTAATTGCATGAAAATATCTAATACCTATTTAGTTATTAGAATTTACTAGAAATATTATTAACAAGGCTTTCTTAAACTAAACATATCCAAACTAGTATGATGATATATATGAGACATCTGACAGGTATTCATTGCGAAAGCAGTTACATTCTCCTTTTAGCTAAATTTCACATGCGCAACATGTCCTAGAGATTTTTGGAATAATTTTACGTAAATTCCTTATAATTCATTCTATTAGAAAATCAAATTTTTGAGCTATTTCTAAAATAAAATTGTTTAAAACCATTTTTTATACAATATTTCGGTATCTCTGATATTACAATGAGTTTTTTGTCCATAAATATGTAAAGAATAGTATAATTGTTGCAAATAATGTATTATTATTATTACATTTAAATAATATGAAGAAATAATATAGTTGAAGTAGAATCTAGTATTAAAATTATAGCTATTGTTTTTTCAATTAATAAGTAGTGATAAGCAATGTCAGTATGAGATTAAGTTATCCTATATGAATGTTTACAATATTTCTCTGAAACAAATCAAATCCATAACAATTACATGGAAATATCGTAGATTCCAGATAAACATAATCGTTAAAACGTTCGACTCTGAATGTTTCTATTATAGTATAATGCATTTATATTATTCCAATATGTAAATTCGTATTAGATTCGTTGAAAACATTACATACAAACTTGTAAATCAATTCAAAGTCTATTAACTTATCGTTGTTCATTCGAGAGTTTTCTAAAAATTTAATCATTTCATCATAGTTATTCAATTTTAGTATAACAACATATTTATAAATAATGAAAGTAATTTTTCTATAACTATAATTATATTTTAAACAATAAAACCGCAGAATAAATTGTGTAGATGTAGTGGAAAGAATGACGCATTTCTTTCGTCGATTCCGGAAATTACTTAAACTTGAAAATAAACGCATTTACATGCGAATTATTCAGCATTTAAATGTTTAACTACTCCCATACACACTCGACTTTCGCTGTTCTCTAGCGACAGTTCTTTTTTATATATTTGATGTGTCGGAAATTGATTAAATCACGGATTCGCAGTTGCGTGAAAGAGCAAAAAAGTACATCGCCGCTAATCGATTGGTAACCAAATTGGATTTTTCCCCAGGTTCGACCTTGGTCTACAAAAATCCCAAATATCCGTATGATTCAGCGCTGGCTCGGAACATGAACGGACGTGTTTCTGTTTCTTCGCAGGTAAATTTCTTGCAGACGCCGGCACTGCGCGGCCACTCCTTTGAGAAAGCAGCTTCTTGTACATAACATCCCTTATCTACGCGAACGTTTCAAGTGTCAGCCTCGAAACTATGTCTCCACCATTAAACATAATGTTTCCAGTACTTCCTTGGGAACGAATTCACACCGGGTTTAATTTATTCAAACTGCTTCATCACAAAATAAAAATAATACAAGAAAGATGCAACTGCGGAAAGCATAAACATTAGCTTCACTTGAAACGTCAGAAGTTTGAGGCAATGCCAAAAGTTTAAATGACAAATCATCTTTCGAACAAATTATTACGGATTTGGCACTTCCTTGTCAGAGTGATCGGAGTGAAACAAATGTGAGACATCTTTCGATCGAAATTTAAAAGATTTTTTTTCAAGCGTACGTGACTTTTGAAGCATTGCCAATGAATTCGTTAGCAACAGTGAGATGGTAAACTTCATTTTCCCATGTCACAACAATTTACGTTAATTATCGAAAATATTATCTAAGGAACCTCAAGAGAAGGAAAACAAGCCACTATCTGTAGATTAATACGCGTGGTTAATTCGAAAACAATATGTTTTTTGAATATATCTAACGACAATGAGAAATACTGTAACATTACATTATTTATATATACAAATTAATTTATTTAAAATAACTATTTTAAAATTTTATTAAATATTAAACACAAATTATTCAATAGTTTTTTAATGAAATAAATAATTAGATAATAACATAAAAATATAATATATAGATGAATCAAATGTTGTTATAATTATTACAAATAAATATTATTCTTTCAATAAACATAATTATTTGTTAAAGGTTAATCATGAATCAAATGTTGTTATAATTGAATAAATATTATTCTTACAATAAACATAATTATTTGTTAAAGGTTAATCAAATAAATGCATTTTTTATATTTATGTTTTGCAAAAGAAATATTGTAATTATTGCTATAAGAAATGTTTGTGCGATAAGCGAGATAAAAACATTACAAGTTGTTAATCAAATGTCTAAAAATAGATAGATTCCCAGAATCAAATTCTAGTTTAATATTGTATAAATGTATTGATGATTCAATCCGTGAGCATCATTGTGTAAATACAATACAATAAAAATGGAAAACGTAAACATTGTACGATGATTTAATAAATTAAATGAAATATTTACAATCACGTAATATTACAAAAAAATATCTCAAATATTAAATGATATCCCAATTTTAATATTAATATTATTAAGCATAAATATGTGTATAGAAATATAATGGATAATTTAAGTACTGGTAAATAAATTTAGAATATTTAGAAGAATCGTATTAAAAATAATGATGTCTTAATGTTGGTGTAGGAAATGTGCATAGCCGGAAAACATTAGTTTGAATGAATAGATATTCTTGGAAGTGTTTACAATACTGCTATGGATATTTAGAAAAATGTATTTTAATCAATGATTTGTATACAGTTACTGTGATTAAAAGCTTTTAATATTGAAAAATAGATTATTTAACAGACAACATGATTACATTTACAAGAATATCTATTTTGTTTGTTTAGTTTTAGACGATTCTGGATGAGTAAGCTTGCTTGTATTACTATTAATTTTATGACCTAGCAGAATGTCCGATCCAATTGTATGGTAACTGAAGTATCGGAAAGCACATACTTTGCTTCGACCCAGTGCCCGTTTTCCATTAAATTACATACTTTTCTGTTCTGTTCGAACAAGTGCGCATCAACCTAAAATTATACTCGAAACGTGTGCGGCGTTATTTATTTGCGTTTAATGGAATTCCTTTAGCAGGAAGAATTAATATTTTAATACCGATTCATCATGAAACTACTGCACTCGGTATAACGAAGATGGGTTAATCTCACCATATGAGGTCATAATAATGGATTATCTATGTGTTCAGTGAGCGGCGCGAATGTGCTAATCAAACACTTTGAAATTGTAGGCGCTAGTAATAAATTAGGAAAGATGCTCATGGATGATGGAAGTGTTGGAATTTCTACAGTTCATGGATTCCATGCAAATATACACGTCCACATAAACCTTCGATGTATTTTATTGCATCGCTGTGGCATTTAGGAGAGGCATAATTCCCAACTTCAGTTGCATGCAAACTGCTTAAGCCATTGAGAAGGCTCGCGACCGACCATTCGACTTAAGTATATGCATTTACATTAATTTGGGTGCTGAAATGCACATGCACTTGCATGTTTCATTCACAAATATACTACTATATTCCAATAATGGCCATACATAATATCTATACTGAGGGGAAGAGAAAGGTTGATGGAGATGTTGCTAGCAATGCTACAGAAGATGTTCTTTTGTTTTACCATTCAACGCTGCGGTATCCTTTGGCACAACAGTGGAGACCTTTGAATTTGCCAACGATTGCGAATTCTGCGAAAGTTGTCTCTTTAGTGAACTGCATGTATCCATTACTTGAGTTATAAGTGTTTATAGAACAGTCGTCCTCGATGCAGAGGGCCGTTCTGGAAAGCACGAAAAGCAGGAATAATCTGGACACGATGTCACGGCACGCCATTGCAAATATTCGGAAGGAGTTCTTATGGAAATCACGAGCTGTTGTAGTTTATTAGCATCACAAACATAAGATAGAAATATACACACTACTAGCTGCAGGAGTCGGAATTTCTAGTGTCTCATAGCACGCTCAAATACGTAAGCCTCGCTCGAGTCTCGGTGCGTTGCGACTACTCCGCCTAGCACTCGCAGTCAAACTGAAGTGAATCTTGAAAGCACGGACCGCCTCTCCAACAGTATAGTTGTCTCGCTCTTGCACTCGCTCGCTCCCTACCTGTTGTTCGCGTGTCTTCGTGCTGCGCGTTTTGCCGAATTTCAGGAAATTTATTACCCAATTTAATGTTTATGTTCTATGAGTCAACTTTCCTAGTACTAACACCGACCCTTTGTTGTTCGTCCAACAAAACGACTAGATAAAACTTGACATGCAGCCAAAAAAGAAGCAGCGCGTATCTCAATTTGCACGAGCTCGACAGAGAGTCTAATTTATTATAATCCTGCAAGTATTTCTTGTTATTTGTAAACATTCGTTTTTTGCATATTTATATTCACATTTATTAGCATTTTAGCTACTATATAGACCGAGGACAATGGCCTTAAGTAACTCGGCACTAAATAAAGATTAATGCCATATTTTTGTTTGTTTGTATACATTCGTTTCAGTTCTTTTATTTCCATTTATTACCATTTCAGGTACTAAGAGCACGGAGAATCATTCACTACATAAAGTATCTTAAAGCACTTATGTAATATTTTATTTACCGTAATTTGTATGTGAAAACCTCTCCATTTCCAGAATTATTGTTAAAAACGATTCTTTTTTGTTTGTAAACATTTGTTTGTATTTCCATTCACTAAATTTTTTATATGAAACCGAACAAAATTTATTCTGTTGTTTTGTTGTTTATCGAAAAACAAATAGATATAATTGACAATTAGTCAAAAAGCACGAGTTCGCCAAAATCCTGATTTATTTTATGTTATTTATAAACATTTATTTTTGCACCTTTTCTATTCCTATTTTTAGTATTCTAATTACTGAATAAACCAATAATAATGTTCTTGCATGTCAATGCAGCTAAAATACTTATGTAATAACAATATTATTGAATTAAAACGATTTATAAATATTCATTTCCACATATTATTTAATTCTATTTGTTTATTTTTCAGTTATCGTTTAGACCAGGTGTCAGTAACTTTTTTAAAGCAGTCACTTAAGATATTACCAGTAAATAAATAATCTTTTTATTAGGGTAAAACCTTGCATAGGGTGGAGTCGTGGTATTGTGGGATACCTACCCACTAAAACTTTCCCCTTCTTTATCCTCGTCCGGTTCCGGTATTTTGGTAAATCTCTGCAATGCAGATTGTCTAGCATGCACCAGGAAGCACTACACTTCGTCGTTTGTTGGTCTTCACTACCAATTTCTTCCTCTTCTCTCATCATTCTACGCTCGTCATCTTCCTTAACGGAGAACATCCTAGAATAAATAAATAATATAGGGAGCCGCAAGTAGCATTAAGATCGCTATTTTTTACATGCAAAATGTAGTCACTGTTTCCACTATAGTCACTGCAATGGGAGCTATGAGAGAAAAAAAATCTCATCAAAAAATCATTCCGGATTATCGCTCTATGGCAATCTTTCAACAAATTTCGATAAATAATCAAAATATAATCAATATAATTTTGTAATATTTTTTATTTGGTTATGATAATATAAATAAATAATAAACGGTAAAATTTTATACAATCTGATTTCCTATTCTTCTCTATTTTTGAAAAAACTTAATTTATCCTGTAATAGAAAAACAAATGTAAGTCACGTAGAGAAGTTACATTTTATATAGTTAAATTACAAATTATTTATAATAAATTAAGTAATAGATTATACATTGTAAGAAACGATTAATTGTATTACTACGAATTAGTGATTATTTATTATATATTATATTAATAGCACGATTATATATATATTCCCAATATGCTTATATTCCAAGAAAAGTAAATAATATATTTATATTAGTAATTGAACTTTAAATAATCCTTTCATAAATTTAATTTTATAATTTAAAAAACAAAAAAATCATTACTAATGTGAATTATTTTTCTTAATAATAAACAATACTTTCTATCAAATAAAAATCTTATATAAATTGGCTTGCATTTGGAAAAGAAGCTATGCTTTTATTGAGTAATAAAAATATAATTAAAAATGCAGTAAACTCTGTTACTGTGCATATTTTTTTTGTAAGATAACTGGAGATAAAAGTCAAGATAATGTAAGTTATTAAGTTAAAATAATAATTAGTTAATTCAACAGTTGGTAATTCACTTCTATAAAGATCATATCTTTTTGGCACGATCTGCTATATTTTCTGCATGTAATAAAAGTACATATAAAAGATAATTGTATCAAATTTTGTACATGATCTAGAAATAAATTTGATTTTCACTACAATATTTTTTTTACTTATAGTAATAAAAAGATTATTCTTAAATTTGGCACTTATTTTATAAAAAAAGTTTATAATAATTATTATTAGATTTTAATAAATATATCATAACATTTAAATTTTCAGTAATGCAATCATTTCGTCTCATGAGTAATTTTGAATAAGTAAAAATGAAATGAATTGTATACATAAAAAGGTCAACAGAAACTCTTAGTTATGTCTGATTTAAATAAAAATATGTCATTAAAGAAATAGATTTCTTTCTTATTTCACTTTCTACAGTTTCAAATTTATTACAGGTAAATGGATAAAACGAAAAACACAAATACAACCCTTTCATATAGTTGTTTGTAACATCTGCAATATCCATATGCATGAGAGTTCTAAGGAACGAAGTTTTACCCACGCAATTGTAAAGGAGTTCACTATACATTTCCGAAATTAAATTGCCTCGTATGTCTGTCTGACATATTTTTATTCAATTGAAGCCATGTCAATTCGACGAATACAAAAAGTAACTGGAAAAATAAAAACAATATAAATTTATTTTCCTATTATAGCTATAAAATTTAACTATCAACATATTTATTTGCAATAAATCTAAAAATAAATAATTTTACTGCAGTATTTCTCAGACAGCACGAAAATAGATGCTGGACCACAAATATCTTGATACTGCCTGACAACTGATTATTATTCACACAAACACATGAGATTCTAGGCTTTGATAATCGTAGACAAAATAAAAATGAGAAGAAACAACCCCGAAATCTAGATTTTCTCTAACTGATAAGATTTTTTTTGACAACGTAAGTAATAATCCCCTTTTCCGTTGGGGTGTTCCGAATTCTAGGTAGTTTTTTTGTGTACGTGGAATAATCACATTGCAATATTTTGTTGCATACATCAAACTTTAGATTTACATTACAATTATATTATTTTAAGAAGTAAACATATGTATATAAAGTGCTTAGATCATCCGCATATTTTATTGTGTAAGAAATATTATAAAGTGTTTTATGGTTATAAAAATACAAATAAATGTAAAATTCCCAGTTCTTGTTTGCAACAAAAGCAACGTTTTAATTACCAAAGTAACTGTAAATATATATTTTTATATATATTTCTTCTTATTATTATGAGACATAACGACACCGTGACTCAGACGTGTTAACAACACAAATTTAAGTCATTAATTATGTAATTGTTTATAATTACAAAGAGAAAAACACAACTAGAAGTAGTATAATGATATTAACGCAAAGAAAACCTTTTCGAAGTGAATGAATCATCGAAACTTACATATTCTTTGAAGGTTGTATCATTTGAATGTACGCAATCTAAACGCAAGGCTTAAACAAAGATTATCGAATAGGATATGTGGAAACGCGGTTTAAATTGTAGTAAAATAAAGATTTTTAGATTTATTATTCTTCCAATTAAAATCTCTTATAGTTAATATTGTCACTTTCTAAATATTAGACTATTCGAATGCAGTTAAAGTTATTTGAAACTTTACTAATGTTAGTGCTAAAATAATTTTTAATATTAATCGAAATTGGTATTTACTCTTTTAGCCATTGAAATCTTATCGAGGTAAATTATTGATGCGTTTTCTCAGTATCTAATTGAAAATTTACTAATATAATTACTAAAATGTTTTTCATATTAATCGAAATTGGTATTTACCCATTGCATCCCTAGTATTGTAATGTTATCGAGGTAAATTATTGATACGTTGATTCCGTATATTGCTGTTTACCAGTCTCGCATTTCCGTATTTAATATTCATGTGGTAAAATGGCGTGCAGATCAGGAATTACTAATCACCTGCGTCGCGATATTTTATTCAATGATCGAATGGGAGAATCGAAAATTATTGCCGTAATCGTTGCGGCTTCTGCATGTTTATATAAGAATAAAAAATAAAAAGAAAACACGAAGATTTTTTTTGCGGTGGGCGTAGTTCGTAATTCCCCATCAGAATTGAATGCACTACGTGTGTTATTAAAAGTTTCCCAAAGACACGTAATTATCTATAACCCAACCTATTGCAAATATCATTTCCGATTAACGAAGAACTACAAATAAAGTGGAACAATACCTCACATAGTACGGCTTTGATTAGTCCGTATTTACTATTGTACGATTTGAAAATTTCAAAACACATTAATTGAGCAAAAAAAAATATTAATTTTGTCATTTTTCGGTTTCTTTTGTATGTATTTCCACAATTAGTCCGGTTTCAAATAGTCCGGCATATTTTTGGAACCGAACTACGAGGAATTGCTTAAGAATAAAAATAAAAATAATAGAAAGAAAGTTTTGTTTCAATTTGATTGAGATTCGTGTATGCTGGATGATGGATTATGGGAACAGGAAGTTTTTATTTTTCAGATAATCGTTGATTAGATCCTTGATGATTGGAGATACTGCCTCGGATATTTCTTCCTTGTAATCGTTTATAATGGATCCGACGTACGCATCCAGCGTTTTCACCAAGCCCTGACTGTATTCCTCGTCGTCCATGAAGCCGGTTAAATTAAACTGAAACCCAATAAAAAGAAAACAGAACTCAATCAATCCATCTTATTATACACTATTGCACTGTAGCAACCGATGTAAATTACCGACTAATTGGATTCCGACTTCTCGGTATTACTATTCTGTTTACGTAACGCGAACGTCGCGTCTGCTAATTGTTATTTTTTTTCTGTACATTAAGAAGGAAGCCACACGCGTCGAAAGGACCGCGTGTTTTTCTTAATCTGATTAGCCTACTGTACTGTTGACCCAGCGCAGGATCTGTTTCATGAATTATGTAATCCCGAAGCCAAACAAACGCAACGAAATGTAAATGCATCGTCGCAGTGTGCCCTTCTTAAAATAACCTCAACAATTGCAAGCATTCAACCGACAACTAAACTTTATTAAAACTTTAACGAAGTTAGAAATTCCAGGAACGGTCATTCTCGAGAGAAGGAACGTTTCATTATTATTGAAGTACTCATTGTTCGGTCATCGATACAAACGTTTTTCAAAGCATTGACACACTTCATCCTCTCTTATGTTTTTTTTCCCCTGTTCATTCTTCTTTTATTGTGCTGATGCCCCGTCGCGATCTTCACACTCTTGTTCGAGCGAAATAATCGGTTGAAACATGTTTCAGGTAAGCAGAATCTAGGCAAAAATTGCCACCTTTCTGAAAGACGATAATAACTGTACCATAATAACTTTCCCATGTTTGCTTTTATTACCGTTAACGATTTCAATTACAGACAGCAATTCATGATTACACTTCAATTACATTCGATATAATGTGATTCAGGAAACGTTCAGTCGTTACCTTTTTCAACTGAATTTCGTCTTAATATCACAGCAGTTATTTTCTTTTTTTTTTTAAGTTGGAGGAAGTGCCATAAGAATATATATCTTCTTTTCAGGGGAACAGTGAAGACGTCAGCTGCCTTCCCAAAATTTATGACGTAAGCTAACAATCCTTCTGAGAAAACACAGGTCTGCAATATAAAGGATATTTATTTCTCTTTTAAATTTAATTTAGATACAGCAATACTTCGCATAGTCTGGGTAATCGGTGGCAATCGAAATCATGACAATCAAAATCCCGGCTGTACCTTTTATTATTAAAAATTTTACAATAACATTTTTAAATTAATTTTATAACTTGAAAATGAAAAAATATTTTTATTAAAAAAGCAAATTAATATTTTTTTGGTTTATATTTATGTTATGTTTTGTATTATTAATTATTTATATTATTATAAATGTCATATAATCAAGTGATAGAATAAATTACATCTAGCGTTAAGTTAAGAATAAAAGATAATAAATCAAAATATTGTGCATCTTGAAAATGTCTTTAATTTACTTATGATTACACAATAAATAAAAATATTTGTTTAATTTCGTACCTTTTGTTCAATTGTGATTATGTTAATTACGATTAGATGCGCACATGTTCATTATATAATATTACGCATTTATAGTTCTATCTGAATCTCCTTATATTTGCTGCCCACATATTTTATATTAGAATTATGAATTATTTATAAGGACAAGTATTTTTTATGGAATAGATATTTTATCATATGATAAATGTATTATAAATACAGGCATTACTGGATTAACGAATAGAATGAGTTCAACAAAATTTGTCAGAATGTTTTATTTTGAACAAAATAAAATTTTATTATTTTTTTAAAAATATGAATCTAAAGTTGATTTTTAAATCAGGATCACTTTGACTATGTTTTTTTTTAATCTTTGGTGGTTAAATTTAATTTCGTATTTATTTTCTTTGTCTTCATTCGTATTCTAAACCTTCCATTGAAAAGTCATCTTCTGCATTCAATAAATTTCTAACATCCTCTTCATCGTTCTTTTCGGAACTTATTGATTGAGCCATCTGTATAACTTAATTTCTAATTTCTTGAATTCATTCTCTTCTTCTACACAATAAATAATTGTTCGAGGTTCTATAACCTTGTACAGCGGAACTTCGCTTAACGAATACCTCACATAACGAGCATTTTGATTAACGAGCAAAATAAATTCAAAGAAAAATGACGCATAACGAGTGACGAGGAGAATATAAGTCTCGGATTTTGCGCTACATCATTTTCAAAACATGTGTGTACATATTTTTTTGACATCTTTGTTTATAGCAAACTATACTTTGCAAATATAATTTATGTTTGCTGTAAAAGCACAACAAAATTGTATTGTGTCCAATCATTATTATAATATATAAACAAATATCAAAATTATAAAGAGAGAATGGAGTCAGGCGTAAACTCTCTTCAACGTATGTGAATGGGAAAACAGTTCCTGGTGTTAGTAGTCGTTCTAATTGCATCTTAGTGTTGTTTGTATTCACAAATATTTCCAAACTTGTGTTCGGACATGTTATTTGTAATTTTTAATAACACTTGCATGTATCCGAATAAAAAGCCAAAACCAAACCAAAATCATTAAAACTCGAATTATCGTATTTTATATTAGTTTAAATGGAGAAAATTCACTATAGTAAAAATCCAGAAATTTTGGAACGGATTTATGCTCTTTATGCGAGGTTCCACTGTATATGACAGCTGAAATATCGATACAACCAAGCGATCGATAACAAGCTTAATAACTATTAATGGAAATGAAACGTATTGATTGAAACTTATTCAAAAATAATTCTTTAATGTAATCGTTTATGAATAATTCAATAATAATTCTTAAATGTAATCGTTTATAAATATTTCTGTCACAATTATTCGAGAAATGTATTGATTATTTTGTTGTACACAGGCTAGAAAGTGGTAAAATATGCTCCAAATAGCAGCAATGAAATATTTTATTATCTTGGCAAACGTGTAATTTAAAATGAAAGTACTAGAGGCATAAATCAAGTTGGATACAAAACTTTATATTTAGATATAAAAAAATATCTCTTAAATAGAATAATTCAATCAATTAACTTGGATTGCAACTAGATAAAAATAGTTAAGAATCTCTGATAGATGTTACATAAAAACTCGTAAGAAAATACAATCTTATTACTTTGTAAGTCTTTGGTAAACCTATTTTTACAAATGAAGAACAATACATATTTATAAAAAAACAAGGTATAATGATAAATGTAATGAAGAAATTATTCGAATATAATAAAAAGTAAGTATAGAAATAAAATAATACAGTTCAGTGTATAATGGAAATGAAGTTGCTGACATTTATTGTAACTAAAGAAAATTTTAATAGAATTTAAAATACCAAGTATAGAAAGTATGTATATAGAATGGTTTATTTACTGCATTTACTGTTGATTCAAGATTTAGAAAATAAATGAATTGCATAATACGATTCAGAGAATAAATAACAATTCGATTTAAAAACAAATTAATGTAAGCAACATTCAGTACGCATTTCTAAATAAGGTATTAAAAAGACAATCTGATGCATCTATATATAGAGAACTAATGTGCTTGTTGCATTTAACTGGAATAAAGAAATCTAATTTAAACTTATTGGTTACTTATGAATTCAATATTAATATAGAGATATTCATTATGAAATATCTATTAATAAATATTTTACAAGTTTCATGTCAGTACTGTAATATTGAATTTCGGTTTTAAATTATTATTTTGAAACGACTTTATATTGGTATTAATGCGTGATATTATAACTGTAACCGTTTATTGCAGAAGCAATATTGGAATTACAATTGCAATTTAACTCTACTTAAAATAGATACTTTAATTGAGCTTTCGTTTCGCACTCTTAGCAGAAAGAATTTTCGTCAGTATGATAAAATTAAAGATCCAATAACACAAGTATGTTATAATGACTTATAATGCTACATTATTTTACAAACAAATATAATCAAATAAAATACTAATGATTATTAGTTATTATCATTATTGATACTGCTATATTTATACTTTTCTTTATTGTTTATTTTTTAATGCAATGAAATACTTTGTAGTTATGTGACAAAATAGAAAGAGAAAGCTTCTTCTTATATACCTCTCTCCGAGCTTCAGAAATAATCTTATTATGCTTTGAAGGTCCGCAACTAAACATACAGCATATACAATAAGTAGTTAGACTGTAGGCTTAATATAATAAGTTGACTAATTCTACAGATTACAAATTGCAAGATTTTTGTGTACTGGCACATTTATGTCACTATTGAAGTTAAGGTATAAAGAGACGTGAAACAGACCTAAATACATGTTTATACTTTAGTCTGCTCTTTATATTGGATACAAAAACTATTTGTTTTGCAATTGGAAACACAAAGTGAGTACATAACTTAATTCAAGTAATACTTGTCACTTCTGTATAAGTTTTTTTTTATGTTGTAAAAAAAATTGTTTAGCAGACTTTATCACAAATTACCACATATTTTTTAATTGAAAATTGATGAAATTTAATAACAATTTATAGGCAACTTAATTTTAATGTGTTTTCAAAGAATTCCAAATATTTTTTAATTTTATTTTAACTATGTTCATGTAACAAAAGGTTAAGATAAACTTAAACAATAAAATACAACTGAAACTTCTCATTCATCTATTTACTATTTTATTTGTTTCCATCATGACCCGGGTTCAGTACGTTCTTTGGAACGTACCCGTACGATATAATTTTTATTAAAAAAATGCAACGAAAAATAATGTTATCATTTATAAATAATTTATTTAGACGTGTTTTTTTTCAATCGCTTGCACAAATTTGAAACCAGTTCTACAAAAGTTTACAACGTCATTGGTTTTAATGATTTTACTAAATATACAGAAATTATTATTGCAGAATTTCATAGAAATAAACGTTTTATGGATAAAACATATTCCTAATTTTTAAATGAAAGCATTATGCAACCAAACATACTCTAATTGTAATTTTCTCGAAATTAATTTGCATTTTTGAACAAATATGTCGTTAATAATAATAACAATATTTATTGTAACAAGTTTTCCATTAATTATTTAAGTTTTCCGAGTAATCAAGTATTTTATAGTGTTGTATATTTAAATAATTACGTTGTTTATTTCAACGTGTAGAATTAATGTAAATTATTTTAATTTATGTTTTTGTTTTGTTTTGTTTTTGTATTTGTATTTGTAGAATGAAATAATAAATACTAATATAAATATAAATGTTTAGAAGGAATTTTTAAGATTTCATCAAATCACTAATCATGTGTTAATGTGAATTTAAAGATAATTAATTGATAATATTAATTTTTATTGGCAATTACCGAATATATAATATTTTGCTAACTGATTCTAAACTTATAATATTCATCTACAAATCTACTTAGCCTATGCTACACTGATACAATTTTGCAGTAATGGTATACAGCAAAAGGTATTTGAGTACATACTTTTTTCTTGGTTTTTTACTCTTATAAATTTTACTTTTTGATTAGTAATTTAAAAGAAAAGACAGACCTTCAGGCGTCGCTAGAAATGAAAAGACACGCTGTAATTGTTGCTTTAAAAGCAATATCTTGATTTCTTAGCCGCTATAAAGTTCGTAAGGAGTAGTAGAACAAAGATGGCTCTGATAGAACAAGAACGCCAGATTCAACAAACCATTGATCATGATCTCACAAAATCAATGTGGTCACTTGCAAAAGAACTCCTAATTCTTCGGACCTCAAGTCCTTGGAATATTGCGTATGAAGCGTTGTTGAGTTAAAGCAATATCTGTTATGAATCAACATCATTTAAATGAAGAAAAATAATGTTTCAGAAATAAAGTTAATTTCTTTTGTTAAGAATTTGTTATATTTTGGCGAGCATAAATCTGTCCTGAAATACCTTACGCACATTTTTCCTATTGAGTATTTTAGTTATACAACCCAATTACTCTGTATTTAAATTTCTTTATATTTTATTTTTTTTTAAATGTTCTTATTTAACTATAGCATTAATATAGATTTTTGCCAAAGTACTAAGCAGTGGAACGTCGGTCCTCGGACGTCTCAATCCTTTTTTTCTTCTTTATTTTCTAAATGCGGCCATCTAGCGGCTGCGTCTCACATCATTTACAAAAAATAATTCAAAATTTCTTAGTTTTCGAATACAATTTTGTTTCCTCACCAGGAAAATCACGCGCATGAGATATATGATTGTTTTCTCTACCAAACAACCTACTAAATTCTTACCTCACCTTCCACTTGTACAATTAACTCACATTTTAATTCATAATTTTATGATTGTTGCAATAAATATTTTCATTGTTATTTGTATACTATTCATCTGAGCTTAGAGAATGGATTTTGTTATTTACATTAATTATCATGGGAAAAATTGTTTTGGTTTTCGAATAATTTCATTTTTTTAAACATTATTCATGAACAAATTGAGTTCGAAAACCGAGGTTCCATTGCATTATTAAAATTTTAAAAGTTTTTAATTCATACCTGAGCGGAACCAATAGTTAATGCCAATTTCAAGTCCAATAAGCTAATCTGTTTCGAAAAAGATATTTTCACATATCCCTCAATTTCAGCATTTGCCAATTTTGCACTGTAATAGAATCACAAATATAAAATGTGAAATTACTGAAATATAGATATTTACCTGGCCTTTCCTTTACCAAAAATTGGTACGAACTGAAAAAGTTTTCCGGTTCCTTCATATTCAGTTCTGGCATCTATTTCCGGAAATAATATGGTAAAATTTAGTTCTAATTCAGCAATATCCAAATTCAAGAAAGTTGCTATAAAATCTGGAATACCGGACACGACAATATTGGATGCAGAAGCATTAGTCCTAAAAAAAATACAGTAATATTTTGTAGTATTTTCATTAATATTATGGAAATGTGTTAAATTATCTGCATGGTTTATTAAATTTTCGATTAATATTAGGTAGATAAAATTGAGCTGTTAATAAAAATAATTCTCACGTAAGAATGTTTTCCAGTTTCAAATTAACATCGGTATAATTCAGTTGGTATGGATCAAAAGATGGTAATCCAATTGCTGGATTTCCGTCCCTCAAAGTTTTCTTCAAGTCTTCTAGAGTTTCATTAATTTCATTCTCAAAAATTCTCGAATGGAATAGCTCAATGAACTCATCTAAATAAGTTGATAAAAAAACAACAGGTGATACTTTCATTTTTTTTTGTTCGATAAGATTACCTTGGAGATTGTTGCTTGCGTAAGCGTTAGATGCAAGCAGGATGGACAATAGAACAGGGAACATTGTATATCCGATCGGCATCCGTTCAAACCACTTACGACCCAATTTTCTAATTGTAGATACACTTTTTTCTTTCGTTATCGTTATTATACGATTTTTAATGTAATCTCACAGATTTTCAATTATCGGGACCACAAATTATTGCATTTTGAAATGCCCCCCACGTGTTCACTCTCGAACAATTATTTATAAATGCACTCGAAGATAAGTGTTTCATGCAAATAGCTCGAATGCACATTACAGGTAACGTGACTCTCGATACATTCATTTCGTAATCCACTTTAAAGAACACGATGAAAGGATATATAACGATTTATCCGAGGAAATCGACAATTCAAATGGAAATTTAATTATTGTAGCCGGATAGTCATTAAATCTTAATTTTCAGAAATCCTCATCATAAATTAAACCAATTCAAAATATAATAGATAATTAGAGCCTTACAAAAAAAGACATATTTTTTGAACAATTTGAAACTTTGATCATCCACGTGATATTGAAAGAGAAACTTATTATTTCACTATTTATAAATGATCAAAACAACTTTATTTAGATTTTGCGATAGTAATATTTTCGACTAATAAAAACACCTGATAGATTAGGATATAAATTGGTGCAGGTGGTGTTAATGATTAAATATTGCGATTATCTACTACAACTAGAAGTAAAAAAAATATGTCGTGTAATTTTATTCACAATCTGTTCATCAATGTGAACAATAAGTAAATTTAAGACAGTAGGTAGGTAATCTTTCCCGGTGGATAGTTACCATTATGATATTTTTTTTTATATTTATTTTATTTACTAAGAAATAATGGAGAAGAACAAGACTGTCGACAAGGAACACTATCTTGCCCAACTTCATCGCGTAAACGAAAATTTCAGCAACGAAATGTGTGTGGTCATATCATCTTCTTCACTAAAATGCTTATCCAAAAACTACAAACATCGTCAAGGAGGCTCTGAATCACCTTGGTTCTACCGCAGATTATACTCTCCGCACCTTCGGATTATCAAATTTTACGCTCCAAGTATATCCAAATGAGGGGCGTTACTTTCCTCAACGACGAAGACTGAAAATTGATTAAAATTAATGTATTAGAAAAATTGAAGCCGATAGGTTTGTATGGCAAGAAAAAGACTTGCGAATGCATATATACTTTATCTAACGAAACATAAAATTGCGGGAAAAAATAAATACAAAAAACGCGGGAACTTATTACACAACCCAATATATATATAGAAATCAATCTTTGAATGTTTTTCGATTATATTATATTCGCGAATCCTTTATTTTTCATCGTCTCCAGATAAACCTATAAAAAAAATATTGACAACATATTACAGTTGTTAAAGAAATATGATTTGAAAAGTTAATTTTGAATTCGTTTCCCACTACTCTAAAAATAGTATCTAAGAAGTTCATTAACATGCAACTGGCCGTAAACTTTTCGTGTTCTTTCATTTATTTTCAATTTACCAAAACGGCTTTACCAGCAAATATATTGAAATATTTTTAATATTTTATGACTTAGTCTGTATCTGATTTATTTAAGTACTAAAATAACCGCTTAGTATAAGCTTTAGTAAATTATTAAATGAGATTAAATTATACTCAATCAAATAAAATATATTTATATTCATAGGGCTTTAATCTTGATACCTTTATTGCTTTATTTAAAGATATTTTATCATCCAATAATATTTACATTCACCGGTGATACATCAAATATTACAACATATAATTTATTTTAGATTTTATATAATTTTATGATTTTGATGTTAATGTGTTTATGTTGCAATTAAATTGTTGATAATGTTAATGTTGCTTAACGAGCAAAATAATTTGTAAAAAAGTCTCGCTAAATGAGCGACGTATTTCCAAACTTGTATTCGGACATGTTATTTGCGATTTTCTTTTGTGAAAAATTTAATAACAACAATAAATATGGAAAGAAAAATCATTAAAAAGCGATATTAAGTTATACTTTCTTTTTCGACGCATTATCGGATTTTACATTAGTTTATATGAGAAAATATATTTCACTATATGAATATTTCATTATAAGAGTAAAAGTCCGATAATTCTGGAACGGATTATGCTGGTTAAGCGAGGTTCGACTGTATTATGTTTATAGCAAAATAACAAAGTCATGTGATATAGATTTAATCTAAAATATATAAGCGGAGACCGATATTTCGTGAATATTTATATACAATCCTGGAATTTCATAGGAATTTTCATTATAATATTAAAACTTTTATATTAACTTTTAAACTATTTTACTTCACGATACATTGGGAAAGGAGAATTTGTTTGTGGCACACCAAAAAAAATCCCAACTAAATTAAATGGTCTAAATATTCTGATCCATCAAATTCATTCCGGGGCAAAAGGTGACAGCTGTTACCTATTAAAAAATTACCCATTAAAATTTTAGTATAACGCAGTTATAATGATATTTCAAATATGTTAAAAAACAGAAAATCAAATATACCAAGACTTTTTGACGATTATTTGCATATGGCACATGGTCCGCGGGTAGGCCATGCCTGCGCTAAACAATAAGCTAAATAAATTGAGCCTTTTAACGCTGCCTGAAAATGTTGACTGTCCTCCATAAGGAGAGAGCAGGTGTCGAGGAATGTAGTAATATCATATCGTCAAAGTGCGGGTCTCAGTAGCAGATAATCAGGCTTATTTCATCTATAGCTGTAGGCTAATTAAACTATTTATTCATTTATTTGTATTTTAACTGCTTGTTGGTCTTTGTTTATTATTAATTTTAACATTTAGCTATTGATTGATTTATTTAAATTCATGTATATGACTTTATTTATTTATTTCAATATATACATTTTATATTCTTATTCACTTCAATATGTGCCCATAATTAACGGGTTTTTATATATAAATATCCCTTTATTTATTAATTGTATGAACTTGTTGATTTTCCTAAAACAGACTCATGTAAAAATTATGAAACAAAAGCGGTCGATTTTGATAAAATATTTTTTAATCTAATCATTATTTTACCGGAACTAACCTTTCCTAATTGAAGGTTATTTTTTTGTAGATTACAAAAGTAATATAATTGCATAAATTACTCTACTTAAGTATTCTTCAATGTTATGTTATGTTCACTTTAACGATATAATTTCTGAATTGCTCGATATAATTCATTAATTATAAGTACTTTGTAAAAATACATTGCTATTGTTGGATACAGATACAAATTTAATTAAAAATGGAACATGCAAGGTGAACTAGAAAAAAATATCTTATCAAGAATCTTGTAATGAAAGACGATAAATTTGATGGTATAAATAAGAGTTTGTGACCAATTGAAGTCACATTTGAAATTAGTTTTCAAGTGAAACATACACACGATGCGCGCTTTCGCACTGATCTTGGCTGTTGCTCTTGTGCAAGGCACAATTGCAAGCACTAACCACAACTTGTTCAAAGGTATATTCTCTAATAATCTGTGAAATTCCCAAATAATAATTCGTGATTGTTTAGGATTAATCAACAATGTTGAACCTCGTGGTTTGGAACAAACTATCAACAATACTTTGGAATGCATCAAAAAAACCCTGATTGAAGGTGATGAAGAAATTGGAATCACAAAATTTGTGCCATTGATTGTTGAAGAAGCAACTTTTGATTTGGGTGATTTGGGACTTGAAAATATTAAGTTAGTGTTCAAATTAAATTTCCATCTTTAAAGAGTTTATTAACATATATATTTTTAATTTTAGCGGAATCGTCAACTTGAAAGATTTGACAGTCTATGGAATTCCAAACTGGTTGGTCAGCCACTTGAAGGTCGCCATCACCATCATCCCAATTGGAGCCAAAATCGAAGTCAACATGGAATGGCCACAACTTGACTTGGTCGGAAAGTACGATGTTGACTCCACAATCTTGGGACATGAAATTAAGGGAGCCGGAAAGATCGTTGCTTCTGCTACCCAGTTTTCTTTCCAATTGAAACTTCATGCTACCTTGAAAGGCAAACAAATTAGCTTGAAGACATTCAATTTGAGACCAGCCATTGAAGCTGCTGCTGTAAGTTTTCAATTTAAATTATTTGTATTTTCGAATTTTAACTATAAATGTTCACCAGCTTGAAATGGACCAACTGTCTGTCGATGGTGAGGAAAAAAGCGAAATTATCAAGGAAGGTGCTAGCAACTTGCCAAATTTCATCAAAGAGAACCTTGATGAAATCGAAAAGAAGCTCGGTGAAACTGTTATTGAGTTCGTCAATGGACTAGGAGCTGGCGAAGAAGGAGGAGAAGGTGGTGAACAAGAACCAAGCGTAATTCAGAAACTTATGGAAAAATGCATGAAATAAATATTCTATATTGGAATTGTTATCAAATAAATAAATTTTATAAATTCAAAAACAACATGGTTTTCTTACTCCAAAAACATAATTTTCCTGTAAAGAATCAATCAATCATCTTAATCAATCTATGCGAAATCATTTTAAATCTTATCATATACTGGATTATACAATTTTGATGTATATATACAGATGCAAGATGAATTCCATTTAAAAATAATTTTAAAATGTTTTTTGAAGCTACTTTAATAATTGCCACATTTGGAGCGGTTCTATCATCACCAACAGGTAAAATTGTAGTAAATAACAGATTTGTACTATTTCCAGTTTTATTTCAGTTGTCTTTAGAAATACCAATATCTTTAGTTTCGAAGATGATATGAACAAAACATTGGAATGCGTTAAGGAAATAATGAAAACTGGGGACGAGAATATTCCATTGCCAACTTTTCAACCATTGGTTATAGATGAAATTAGTGTGAAGTTGCAGGATTTAGGCATTCAAAATGGAAGGTATTTCAATTAATTTCTTATTTTTTTTTTGTTATTTACTACTAATACATAATTTCATAGTGGTGGATACACTTTGAAGAAATTAACTATCGGCGGTATTCCAAATTGGGAGACTACAAAATTAGAGATGGTGATAACAGTTTTTCCACTTGGTACAAAAGTTGATCTCACAATGAGATGGTCGGCTTTTGACTTCGAGACTGAATACATCTCAAATTCGACGGTTCTCGGTCACACTGTTACAGGTTCTGGAATAGCGAAGGGTTCGGTAATTGCATTCGGAATTGACGTTTACTTCTACGTAATATTAAATGGGGATGGAACAATTTCCTTAGATAGTTTCAGCGTCAGACCTTACGTTAGAGATATTGAGGTAAGGCAGAATTATTTACAGTAATAAGGAAAACAAAAAAATCAATTTTAGCTTCACATCGATGGTATGTACATAGATGGCGTTGAAAGCAGCAGAATTGTGGAAGAAGGAATATCGCATGTGCCACAGCTCATCGAAGATAATATTGATGAAATTGATGAATGGATCAGTGCGGTAGTCATGGATTCAATGACAAATCCGAATTCAGAAATCGAAACTAAAGAAATTATCGAGAAATTGATTTTAATGTGTCAACCTTAATTATAGTTTTTGACATTAAAATTGTACTCATATTAGGAATGTTTTCTTCTTCTTTTATTAAATCTCCTCTCCTTTCACATGTCAAGCACAATTTCACATTACTACAAAATTACTACATAGTGCACAAATTTACTTAAAAAATACGAACCTCTTCCTCAGTTTAGGTATTTAACAAATACCTAGGTACCCAACTATCCTTAATGTATCTAATTTAATTACTTTCAAAGATTCTTACTGACAATCAGAAGAAAAATTTCAACCAGAATAAATGTTCTGTACAATATTTGTAAAAGTATTTGTTTTCAAAAGTATATTTTTATTCTACATTATTGTGATATCGGACAAGTATTTTAAAGATTACGGCAACTTTATCATTTTTCTTATGACTCAATGCTTTTTCAAGGTTTTTAAAAGATTTAATGCATTCAAGTCTTCATAACAATATCATTTTTTCCTTACTTTCTAGTCTTCAATTGTGAATTTATATTTAACAAAATTATTTCCAGAGTTATTCAGTTAATATCTTGTAAATGTGCAATATTATGAGAAAACACAAAATATTACAATCACAAATTTGTGTAGAATACGAAAATGTATGTGAATACAAAAAATAATATTAATAATAATTAAGCAGTGAATTAATACAATGAGCTATAAATAAATAACTATAATAAATAATTTAGTCAATTTTGCTATTAATATTAATAGCAACATTTGCGCGTGTTACCCTGAATGATAAAAGAAAAGGATAATGTTTTTGATTGTGACAATCCATTGTGTTGTCTGAAAAGTTTCTTTCACATAACTTAAACATTCCATACTCTTAGATTCATTTCATTTTTTTCCTGTGAACAGTTAAAGTTCTTGCCGTTAAGGGAATATTTCTTAGTGTGAATATGGCAGGTGATATAATACATTTCATATTCAAGACAATATAAAATTGATGTACAGTTGAATTATCTAAATATCTTTAATAATTAGAAAAACACATAGTCTTAAACATTTTAAAATAAAAAATAATATTTATATTATTTATTAAAAATCTTTAAAAAATTCAAATAAAAATTTAAAATTTAAATAAATTTTAATAAAAATTTCTTTATATATAAATTATTGTTTTTTCTACAGTTTATTTTTTATGTATTTACTTCCTCGTAACCGAGATATTGGCGGAACAATAATACCTCGAGGTGCTGTTGTATTAAATTATAATAAACATAAATTAACATATTTAATAAATACCTGAATTATTATTATTAATACTAAAGGATTTTTTTAGAAGATAACTTGTCTTTGATCATGATGTTTTACACATCGTTTGATATACTTTTATAAGATGGGGACGTGATTTGATAGAGGCGTTCAAATTAATTATTTTTTTACCATTGTGTATGTATTTAAATGTACACAATAAATTATAATTTTTTTTATCATATGTGATTTATTAAACAATGATTTATCGATTAAATAAAACTAAATTGAATTATATTGATTGCATATTTATCTGCTTTTATATGTTATTAATATATTACATTTTTTTTTGTAACGAAAATAACAAAGATAAATAAGTTTTTACAACGTAATTTAAATGATCATAAACCTAACTTGCGTTTAAAAATTTATATTTTTTAAAAAATATGAATATACTAGCGTTAATAAATCTAACACGAGTACATAAATGTTTATGAATAATAAAAGTAAATATTATGGAAAGTGATAAAGAAATGACGTAAATTATGCAAAATACCTTGGGAAAACCCTACTTATTTGTTTGGTTATTTGTTTAATCTTAATTATATTATTTTAATGAAAAAATATTACTAAACTGTTAATTTATAATAATATTTTTATTGCAAAAAAATAACATTTACATCTAATAACAATAATAATATAACAAAAAAAAATTAATTGCTGCAAAGGTGACTATAGGTCTTTCTACTCTTATTATAATATTAAATAAAAAAATATTATGTTATAATTTTACCCTAGGATATAATATATACAAATATCACGTAAAAATGTGATATAAGACTTGTTCATCGTCTGGTTCTGTAAGCATATTGTGTAATAAAATGATTTTTTTTAAATTTTTGTGGATATTATTATACGTTGACATTTTTAATTTAAAAGAAAGCAGTGCATAATTATTTAAATATGTTCAAACATTATCAGCTGGAGAAATTGTTTACAATTATAAATGTGCGGCTACTGTGGTTTTGTAATGAGTCACCTCATAACATGACCTTCTAAAATTGAGAGGCAACTACGCAGGAACAGAAATGAAGAACTTAACACTTTCTATCGGAGTGCAGTCTGCATTTAAACTCGCTAACATAAAGAAATTAAAAAACGTTCTACGCATCAGTGAAAAATCATGCAAAATCTAATAGATATGCACTGAATAAATAAGATAATATTGAATGTAAACACATTTCTTATTGTGTTTATTTTATCTTAAAACGATGAATTTATTTTAGAAAAATGAGATATCTAATCTAGATTCTTTTATGTTATGATTTTCACTATAAAAGCGCAGTGGTTCAGTTAATTACTCAGTACACAACAATGAAATACTTCGTCTTGGTTGTCCTTGCAATTGCCCAATGTGGCTTTGCCTACGAGAAAGGTTTCCAATCCTTGTTGGGTAAGTTATTTATATAAACTCTGAATACTCAATTTTGCTAAATTCGTATTTGTGTTTAGAAATCGAAAACAATGAAGCCACTATATACGCCTTCGAGAACAAGATCAACCAAACTCTGGAATGCGTCAAGGGAATCTTGTTGAACGGAGATGAAGAACTGGGATTCCCATCTTTGGATCCGTTGGTCGTCGACGCTGTTGAGAAGGATCTCACAGAACTTGGAATTCCTTCCGTCAGGTATAATCAAGGATTCATTTTAATATCGAGGTTATTTAATGTGCATATTATTGCAGCGGACATGTCTCTTTGAAGAACTTAAGGGTGGAGGGTATTGCTGGATGGAAGACTACTCACTTGAAAGTCACCGTGACCATCATCCCGATGGGAGCTAAAGTGGAAATTACCTTGCTTTTCCCCAAGGGTTCTCTTGTAGGTGATTACGACATCGACGCTCACTACGCTGATACCAATGTTAAGGGTGTTGGACATGTCGAAGCCAGCCACGTCGACTTCCAAATCGCTGTTAAATTGCAAGCTACTCTGAAGAAGATTGGATTGAAGACCCTCACCATCGTTCCATCTTTGAAAGACGCCAAGGTAGACCATCATAATAGTTTAGGTTTTCAGTTCTTCTAAACATATATATTTTTGCAGCTTGAATTGGGAGAGCTTTTGGTCAACGGTGAAGACAAGAGCGGAGTCATCACCGACTTCGTTGCTAAGCTTCCAGCAGTAATCAAGGAAAAGCAGAAGGAAATTGGTGAGGCTTTGAGCAAAAAAATCATGGATGCCATCAACAACGCCCCGGAAGGCGGTTCTGGAGCTGGATCAGTCATCCTCGACATCATTAACAAGAAATGCCCATTCTAAATAAGTCATTATATACAAAACTATATAAATTGTAAATAAAATATAAAGAATCAATAATTGAACATAAAAAAAATGTGTTTTCTAAATTTCTTTACATATCATCATAATAAAAATAAATAATGAAATAATGTTATTCGTGAGAATAATTATATATATTTTACATTTTTGAATTTTAATTTAAAGCACATATGTGAAACCTCCGACAAATGTTCCGGATAACGCCTTTTTCTTCGTTTAAATTATTAAATTGTGTTCTGTCTACAATTAATCTGTAAAGTTTTCTTTATCTTAATAGCAAATACATATATATTGAACAAATATACTTATCTATAAAAGATACAATCAATTAAAAAATAGGGTATTCTCGTAATGTTCAACTAGTATATAATATACTTTTTTTCTTTTATAATATTGAAGAAATGTATTTATTTATTAATACAAATAAATATTATAAAAAAAATATTCTTTAAGAGTATATAAAAGTACAATATTTATTAAATGTTTATAAAGGGTGTCAAATTCACGTAAGAAGTAATTTTGATAGATAACACAGGTTTTTAATTTAAAATTGTATTTTTTTTTATTGATTTATAACGTATACATTATAAGGTTATATATTTCTACGATTTTCTGATACTTGCGGACTACCACAAATTCAATGTTCTTTTTTCAACGTTCTGAGATTTGAATCCGATATGTGTCTGATATTATTATACAATTCTTTTATGGAAATAGATTTAGTATGAAATAATTAAGAGATAATCGTGAAGAACGTTAATAAAAAAATAAAACTTTTTTTTATATCTGTGGTTGTTAACATTTGTTCAGGAATTTCTTTAATTTCCTCTTCTAATCTTCTGCATTCCATAAATTTCTAACATCTTCTTCATAGACACTTCCTATTGATATGACCTATTGATTGAGCCAACATCATTTCTATGTTCTTTTCTTCTTCTAGCAACACTTTTGAGCATTTCGTTTAACGAGCAAAATAAATTGTTAGAAAAATTACTTCAAAATGGAACGTATTATAGTATTTTACATTGGTATATATGAGGAAAATTGTATCACTATACAAGTAATAATTTGAAAATTTTGGAATGGATTATAATTTAATTTTTTTAAATTTTTCAAAAAGAAAACAAGTTGTAAAAATCAGTTTTGTGTCTATATTTTTGCAAAAAAAATCGAAAACCAGTTTAAACCAAGACAAGTTGAATTTCGAAAACAGGTTTAGTTTAAAATCGGTTTTTGTATAAACCCTACATGGCGTACAACTTACACATCAGTTACGGCGGCCTTAAAATCATCAATGAAACAATGAGTGAAAAACATAAATGCGTAAATCATAAATATTTACTACAATTAATAGATGTCGATGTAAGCCATTCCGGGAGATCGATATAAAATGAATTGACAGATGTCGCTGATTATAAATTATTATTCATTAAGAATAACCATGATTTTCGTGCAAATCAGAACTTCAAATCGTAAATCTTAATAAATTAGGTGCTTAATAATCAGTTTACATTTTCTATAGTATTCAGGTAATAATAAAGGTTTGTAGCTCGGCTTAATGAAATTATATTGGTTCCACCTTCCAGAATTTATATCAAGCTTTGAGTTTAACAGTATTGGCGCTGATTGAATCAGTAGAGTAACAACAACAATATGAGTAAAATTATATCATTTATCATATTCAATTAAACAAATACAGAAAATGGTAAGGGCAGAAAAACCGACAATAGCCCTTTGTAACACATCAATTTGTTTTTTTTTCATATTCTTGTTATATTGTTTTTTTTTTTGAGTATATATTATGATTTGTTATAATAAATGTTATTATTATTATTTTGGTACAATACTACAATCAGTTAATAATATTATATTTCAATAGTTTCTAAAGTACCCGAGTAAAGTCGTGTAAATAGATGTGTCGTACATATTTTTTCTTCTCCGTTATTTTCTCCCTATCATGGACAGTGAAGAAGATTGGCTACTTAGTTCAGATGATGAAAATGTAGAAATAAGTGGCAGTAGAAATTAGTTTTTTTTGAAGATTTTTATTGCAATTTTATAAAAATTATAGTCAATATTCTATTATGTGAAATAAAAATAAAATATAAAGTTATTGACGAAAAAAACATTTTTTATTATTTCAATAATCAACTAAATCGATTAATTTATATTGATTTCAATAATATTTACACTATTATAACAATTTTAAATTATTTGTTGTAATACAAAAAAGTATTTTTCACTTTTATTGCATAATTTTACAAAATGAAATCGGACCCAACATGATAAATAGGACAGTTATAACAGCAACGTTTAAAATATAAATTTAATGTAGAGGGGAAACAATCATTTTGTATTACCGACTACCAATAATGACATGGAATTATAGTAGAAGCAATTAATTGTGAAATGTAAAAATTGCCAATTGGAAAGCCCGTTATTTATATTATTCCTACTACCACCGTATAAAGTCTTTTAAACCACAATCGTTATAAGTTAGTCGATGTATTCGCTTATCTCTATCGTAAATGCATATAACAATATTTACATTAAAGTAATTTATCGATGCCAAGGAACTATCTAATCTATAAGAAGTACTATAAATATTGAATAATTAACGTATAAACTTATATTGAGTTCGTCTGCAAAATATCCAACATGTATTACATAATATTTACTGTATTGGTTTTCGCCAAAATCTCCGCAGCAATCCCAGTTCAAAGTAAGAAAATATGGATATAATGTGAATATACTAATACATTTATTTTAGATTTAAATGCCGAAGCTGAAGCTAAAGGTAACAAAATTTTGGAATGCTTCAGGGATATTTTACTTAATGGTGATGAAGAATTATCATTACCGCCTTTGGACCCAAGTCCTCCAATGGATACAGTTATAGATGTACCAGGCGCAAAGCAAGTTGATTCTATATTATTTTTTAATAAAAATAATCTTTGTAATTGCGTGTTTTCAGTGGATCGATTTTATTGAAAAACTTTCAAACCGAGGGAATTTCTGCGTGGAAAACCACTTTAAAAGTCGATTTGATGAATAATCCCGAAGTAGCAATTGTTAAGGTCGGCTTTCTTTGGCCCGCAGGTGTAATGGAAGCTGATTACGACATTGATATTAATTACATGAACAACGTAATCACAGGAAAAGGTCACCTAAAACGCACTGATTTTAATCAAGTTATTGATATGGAACTGGAAGTGGCTTTTGATACAGTCAAATTGAAGAAGTTTTACATTAGATTCAGCTTAGAAAAGATCCAGGTATGTGCTGTAGGCTTTGGCAGAAAGGTTATTGAAAATGATGCATTTTAAATTTTCAGATTGATGTTGATGAGATTCTTCTGAATGGAGTTGATGTTAGTTCAATTATTTCATCTGTTGCACAGAAAATTCCCGATATTTTAAAAATGTATGAAAAAGAACTGAGCAGTTATTTTAGCGAGAAGATTTTAGAATCTTTTAACAGCATTGATCAGAAGAACATAAATTCAATTCTTGACTTTGTTAAAAGAAGATGCAACGTCTGAATGTTTTATTTGAGAACGAAAATCCTCTAACAAGTATATATTAATAATAAATAATAATAATAATCTTTATTGTAACTTTTATTTATTATACACAACCCGCCAATTTTTGACAATAACTTAACTAACTAATAATAATTTTTATTCACAATCTGTTCATCAATGTGAACATTGAGAAAATTTAAGATCGTGGTTGACATTAAATGGATAATCTTAGTGGATAGTTACCATTATGATGATTTGATTTTTTTTAATTTGTTGGTTGGCTGTCGTCTTGTAGGTTAATTTCAGTAGTATATTGATGAAATAACAAAAATGTATTATGTTTTAAGTTCGTAAAGGGGAAGTCAAGAGTGATGTGTCTGTTAAGTGTGTAGCACTGTTGGTTTTCCATTACGTCAGCTTGAACACTAGAGCCAATAGCGTGTCGATTTTGTCTAATAGCTTGGCTATTAGCTTGGGTCTTGTTGTGTTCTCTTGACTTCATTTTAGCCGCTGGCTGCATCAGTTTAAGATAAACCTGGTTTGATCCGTGGAAACTCCGTGGGTTTAGACGGCACAATAGTTGGCGGCAACAATTTCTTTTCCATCAGTTTCAGGAATTTCCTGCTCTGTATTTCCCTGTCCACTGTGTAACTTTTGTAGTTGGCTTCTGTTGATTTCTCTTCCGTGCATACCGCGGTGAGGTGGTTCTTGCCGCATTTTACGCAGCGAGGCATCAAAGAGCAGTAGCAACCGTATCTTTGGCATTTCGCACACTGTGGGATGTCGTATCTGCAGTGCGGAATCTCGATCATCACCTCCATGCTATGCAGGAATTTAATTTTGAGGATGTCCTTATTGTTCGTACTAGGAGCTAAGTCCACGAAGAACAATAGCAACGGTTCCTTGGTGCGTCTGCTTCTTATGTTGATTATGTTCTGACTTTATGTCCGTAATCTTTTATTTCTTGTTTCATGCGTTGCACGTTCATCGACATGTGGATATTTTCATCACAACCTTGTAGTTCCTTTCCTGTTTTAGTTTGTAGTTGTGGAAGGCCGTTCCCTGGCTTTCTAGTGTCTTTTTTGTATCCGACTAGTTTTCTGATGTTTTCAGCAGAATTTTTACATCGTCCTTTTTGTCCAGCTTCCCGAAATATCCGTTTCTTGCGTTGTAATAAATTGTTGACATTAATTCATTAACGTCCGTGATTTCCGGCACCATCAACGGCGGCGGCTTGAATAATAATAGTAAAACAAAAGATTAAAGATCTTACAAAGAGCTATTTACTATATTATATATTTTTTAAATGAACATTTATCTTACAAAGTTGAATGGGTTAACTTCCAATATTTCATGTATGATGAAAATTACAATATTTTTTGACGAATCACCCAAACCACTAACAAACCAAACAGTACATATCTCCTTGATAACCCACGCTTTTTTAATTGCTTTATATATTAAGGTAAACATGTTATTATGTTCTCGGATTTTCTGAATAATAAACTAATAACAACTGTAATTTATATTTAATATTTGATCCAAAAAGTAATGCAGCTTTTTCTGCATTAGAATTTAAATTTTTTGATGATAGCAGATGCTAGAACAAACCTTTCGTCAAAATTGAACAACAAATTTAATGTAGAAAGAGCTGATGTTGCAGCAACGTTCCAATGTAAAATACGTACAAATGTAACGGGCTATAAAAATAATAAAAATAGTTTTTATTTGTAAATTGTTGAACATTTTTAGGTTGAATTATTTCCTTTCATTTTTATGGAAAATTATTTGCAAACTCAACATCTTCTTATTTTTTCACACAATGAATTCTTTAATTCATAAATTTTAACTAAAAAAATATATCTATTTCTTTCAAATCTAATGACAATTGGGCGTTGGCTTTTTGATTCTGTTAATTTGCTTCTTTATTAGAGGTAAATCGAGGTTTGACAATAAATACCTTATTATGAACATAAAAGATTAAATTGAAAACAGAAGATTTTACTTATTAATTTTTGAATTTGCACAAATATTCTCGTTTAAATTTAACATATTTATTAAAAAAGAAAAATGAACAACAAACATCATTATCTGTTTATATAGTTTATCTATAGATCGCAATTTCCTTTAAGTAAACAGTAACTAACGATTATGACCTATTTGTTGTATAACGAACTTAATCTAGATATTTTAAATATTTGTATATAAATTAAATTTTAATAATGACAAAACCTGAGAAAATACATTATTCAATTATAAATTTTAGTTAATAATAACAATAACACAAATATTTTAGGCTTTTAAAATTTAAAATATTTATAAAAGTAATTCAAATATTAATAGATCTTTTCTTCAGTACAATTATACCTTAACAACGTTATCTCTGATAACAAAGCATTGATATATGAAAGTTTTTAGTTTATCATTCAGTAAATCCGAAGTCGTTAAACTGAACAGAATATTTAACTATTATATGGAACGCAAATAGAAAACATGGATTATCGAAGAGTTAATTATTTTTGTCCATAAGTAAAACAATATTGTAAAAGTATTATTTTGGTGAAAAAGCTTATTTGAATACATGCATTACTGTTAAAGTTGTGTTATCTAAGACAGTACTTCCCAACCTTTTTATCGCCGCGGACCGGTCAACGTTTGATAATTTTACCGCGGCCCGCTGTGGAGGAGACCTTGATACAGTTACACCAAAAAATGAATATAAAGTGATTTAACATTTAACTCACTAGATTATAGTGAGTTAAAATAAAATTGAAATAATTTAATGTTTTTTTGGCCTGGCAGGCCTGGTACCATTTGATCCACGGACCGAGGGTTGGGGACCACTGGTTTTAACAGTCGATTTTCCAGATTTAACCCGAGTAGCGTTTCAGATCGGTTAACGGAGTGCCCGGAATCATGCCAATGATGGGGTCACCAAACAATATTATTTGGATCTCCAAATCAGAATGCAATCTTCAACTTATGTATTCATGATAATTTGAAGTTTTTTCACAATATATTCCTTTTTAATTTACCGTGTCGTGTTCAATCATTGAAACATTAATTGAAATAGGGGAATAAGAAGCAATGAAAGTTCAAAGTTTTTGAAAAAACTGAACTACAATACTATCAATGGCTTAGAAAATATCGATGCAATGTTTTTATTCATATATGAAGTGGTTTACATGTTTGAATTTTACATAGTATTCATACTGCTTAAGTCTAAGCTCTTTCAGCATGCAGTTTAAGGGTTAGATTTGATGAGTATTAGAAAAAATTAACATTGTAGGATAGAAGCACATTGTAGAGTAAAAACAGAACATTCTTGAAATCAGGAAGAGATTTAGAACATGAATAGAAATTTTAGAGAACACATTTAGACAAGTACACATTTAGAAAACATTAAGATTACACATTTTAAAGGACACCTAATACACATTTTATAGACACTAAGAAATATAAATAAGAAAGAAATTGGAATATGGAATATCACAGAAAGAATGGGCTAATGTTTTCAGTAAGATCATTGAAAATGGGAACATCAGATTCAAGATTCTGCACTAGTTTAGCTGGAGGGAATGGCATTTTCATTTTTGGTTTTAGCCTGAGACAGCTACTGGGAGGAAGTTTGAATAGAGAAAGTGTGTGATGATTGCGTATTTGAATTCTGAGAGCTAGTCTTCTAGTGGACTGTATATATGAAGTCTGTAATGCTGGGGAAGGGAACAAGGTCGTAGAGTTGTGCAGAGGGATATTTGTAGTGTAACTTTAGAATTTTTCGTATTATTTTCCTTTCAAATTGTAAAAGTCTTTTCAAAAGTTGAGGTGTAATGAGGGTGTGAGTTACTATGGGGTATGTGATTACTGGACGGATGTATGGTTTGTATATGTGTAGTAGTGTGTTAGAAGAGCATCCTCCCAGTCTGGATCTGAAGCAGGTTATAAGGTTGAAGCGGAGATTAACTGATTTGAGAATATTTGAAATGTGGGTGCTTTGGTTGAGAGTCCGATGAAGCAGGACGCCGAGATACCTAGTGGCGTCAGATTCCTCGATGTCGACACTCCAAAGTTGATCCCCAGTCTGACGTCTTGAAATCTTCTGCTGCATAAGGTATGACGGAAACCAATAAGCTGAGGTTTAGTAGGGTTTGGCTTTATTCTCCACCTTCTCATCCATGACTCCAGTCTGCAGCAGGCCTCCTGAAGGGATTCGATAGCAGTGGCAGGGATCCGGTTTGAAGACTAAATGACCGTATCATCGGCATACTGTTGTAATTGAGTACAATCATCATCAGGTGTGGGAATGTCAGCACAGTATATATTGAAGAGTGTCGGAAGAGGATTGCGCCTTGAGGGACCCCAGCATCAATGCTCACCGCCTCCGAAAGCGTCGACCCTCTCTTGACTGCGGCACTTCTTTTCTTGAGGTAGCTCTGTATAAATTCAATTAAGTATTGCGGGAAGTTGTCTCTCTCCATTTTCAAGAGCAAGCCGTTGTGCCATACAGTATCAAACGCTCTGTGAATATCTAGGAAGAGTGCTGGTGAGTAGTATCTGGAGTTGATGCTGTTGACTAGCTGGGTAGATAGGTTCAGGAGTGCGTGTTGAGTTGAGGTGTGTTTGGTGAAGCCATATTGATGTTCTGGAATGATATGGTGTTCAGCACAGTGATTGAGGATCCTTTTGTGTATTGCAGAGTATGTTAGCAATCTATTGAATGCAGAAGATGATTGTTTTTCTGTGAAAATAAAAGAATAAAATTCTTGAGACGAAGACAAATTAAAAAATATAAATCCATAAACCAATTCCTACATTTTGTATTATCTTCCTAATACATTTGAAAGCGTAGCGAACCTTGTCTTTGATGACCAGTGGTTCTTGAAATGCAACCTGTTGACTGAAGACAGCGCAACGAAGAGCAAATGCTAATAGCTTCATCTTAATCACTTTTATTTTTTCTAGAAGTTAATTTTGTTTTACTTTGTATAGTATTTATTTAAATATATAAGTATATTGTAACACGATAGCGCTCATGTACATAAAAAAACAAGATATACCAATCTTCAGCCGGCTAGGGCGTGAGTCCGTGACGTGGGAAGGTTAAGGGCGCCACTTCCTTTTATTGAGAGGAAGAACTCTTATAACTGCTTTCCTCAGAACAACAACTTCTTCTCCGACGTTGGGCATTAGCTTCTCTAGAGCACCAACACCGTCCTCTTGGAGCTTATAAATATATCCTAATATCTTCTTAAACTGGAGACCTCAACCGTCTTCTTTCGCGGTTCGCTGCGGTCTCCTCGAATTTTGGAAACATAGTTGCAACGTGGAGCGCACTTGCAGCGTTGTCTATTTTACCACGTTACAACTACCTTCCTTTCCGGTAAAAAAAAAAGAATAATTCTACTATGAGTTTTTTTTCCTACAACAAACAAAAATTAATACTAATCATAATAATAATTGTTATAAACAAAAAAAGATATTCTAAACAAGGTCAATTCCTTCCGTCAAGTGAGTCTTCTCGACTACTTTTCCTTCCATTTGGTTCGCCGTTGATGTTGACTTAAATAATTCTTCTTCCATCTGGTTTTCACAAAAAACTTGAATCTTCTTCAGATTCAATTTTTCTTATAGATGATTCAAGTTGTGCAGACAATGGTATCTCTTCTTCATTTTCTTCATCTTCAATACTTTCTTCCAATTGATGATTATCTTTGAATTGAGATAAATTATTATCACAGCTGCTGGCAACTGAAATGTTCGGATCCTTTATATAGATGACCTCATTATTTTCTTCTTTCACCTGATAGTCATTTTCTTCTTTAATAACTAATTTTTGAATATCATTTGAGGTGAGTGGCACATCATCATCTTCTTCAGATTCAATTTTTCTTATAGATGATTCAAGTTGTGCAGACAAGGGTATCTCTTCTTCATTTTCTTCATCTTCAATTCTATCTTCCAATTGAAGATCATCTTTGAATTGAGATAAATTATTATCACAGCTGCTGGCAACTGAAATATTTGGATCCTTTTCATAGATGACCTCATCATTTTCTTCTTTAATAACTAATTGTTGGACATCATCCTTAACAGAGTCCTCTATATTGTATATTATATTTAAAATAATATCCCTTTCTTCCTCGGTTAGTGGATGAACATAAGATTTTCCTTCATCATTTTCAAATTGCTCACATTTAATCCATGTTGCTTCTTCCAATTCATCCAGTTTTATTTTGTACTCCTTTGCCTTCAATTTCAATTCTTCAGGAAACCTTACCAAACGGCAATTTAAATGGATCAACTTCGTTTCAATCCACTGTGCCAAGATTGACTCATATGACCCATGAAAACGATCTACCAAATTTGCCAAAAATTCAATCTTCCGCTTACAAACTGCAATCTCCTTGTTCCAGTCGTAAGACACCGCCGTTATGGGCTTAGTATCTCCCCAGTTTCCTGCAATAGAAGAGGCGCAAGTCTACTCTTCAACTGATTGTGCGTTGAGTGGTCGAAAACTTTTGCACCGCGCACCGTTAATTCATAGATGCATTCATCTTTCAAGAGTCTTTGTACATCCATGTTTATATTTTAAATTTATACCAAAACTAAACTAAACTAAATTGAAAATAAATTTTTCTTACAATTCATTGTGATCGTTAAGGAAAATGCTCGTTTTGCGAGGTGCTCGTTAAGCAAGGTTCCACTGTATGTAGAAGTATATCTTACATATCATTAGCTTTTGACTGGGACCAGTGACGCCAGGCGCATCAAACATAGATAAACGCACATTGTAGTCGTGTATCATATAGTCAGTAAAGTTAATTCATTTAAAACATTTTTAATCAGTATGAGGAAACATTAAATTACAGTTGGATATGGTTATTGATTTGTAGAACACCATTTTAGGCTATAGCTATTTTAGGCCTTGAATTAGTTAACAGTGTATTGTGACACAGTGGTTTCCAATATCAGGTGTATAATAGGAATCGCTGTTACTAATGTAGAACTAACTTTCAAGCATAGTAACTAGATAGGATAACTTTTTTATGTTCATCTGACTTTTGAGGTCACCACCTTTGAATTGCAATTTATGATACAAAGGATAATAGTCAATAAACTAATATATATATCATTTAAGATATGAGTAGAGACTTATCATTTGCATCAACCATTATCAAATACTCGAAAATGATATGACGGAAATAACTTTGAAAAATTAATATAATTTTTGTTATCACATACAATCATTCAATGCATTTTATTTATTAAACAATAGAAAATCTATTTATTTATACATTCTTCTAAAATTGTATCAAAGCCGTATTGTTGTGCGTTATTGACCAAGTCTTTAAGAAGAGCTTCCAAAGCGTCACTGATGTCTTCGGATTTCTCATTAACCCAATTTAAAACAATTTGGTTAAGAAGCTGTGTTACCAATTCACTATGTTCATCGTCGTCAAAAAGTCCAGTGAGTTTAGCCTAAAATAATATAAAGTATTAATATTTTTAAAAGATAATTAATATTTGGGAAGAACCATATTAAACTAATTATATATTATATCTCATGTAATTCATGTCACATGAGACTTGGTACATCTCACAATTATTTATATATCATATAATGTGTACAATGATTAATAATTGTAAAATATTTACTTTGAAAGATTCCAGAGATATTAAGATTTTGATATGTTCAATCTTAGGGCCACTTGTATTGATTTTAGTATCTAATTTGATACCAAAATTTCCTAAATCTGCTTCTAAATCTCCATCGCCCCAAACATAAACGTTTTCCACTGTGACATTAGCAACGTATCCGGTCAAGACTTTCAAATTTGGAATATTCACGAAAGCTTCCACCGAAATACTAACTCCTTCCTCTAATCCCAAGTTCACTTCTAACGCCTGCAGATCCCAGTCAGTTAATCCACCCAACTCTATTCCCTTTAAGTCCAACAAGCCACTAAAATAACAAATTGTCAACATGTTTAACCAATCAAATTTAAAAGATTTATTCTAATAAGAATACATTTACTTACTGAGCATCCTCAAAACCCAATTGCGAAAAGTCAATGCTAATGTTCTGAATATGCAAAGGTTTGAATGAAGGCACACCTTCTTCAGGTCTACCAGTAATCAAGTTTTCTCTGATACATTCTAATGTTTTATTGATCTCAGGTTCCAAAAGTCTCTTGTTGAAACTCCTCATGCGAAATCCATCTATTAATAATCAGAGTTTGATAATAGTAAAAATAAATTAAATTATATACTCACGTTGTAATGAATTTACCGCAGCTACCAATACCAAAACTAGTCCCAAATACAACCTCATTTTCTAACCAAGTGATTTTGTTGTGATCCATGTTCATGTATTAATAGTAAATTAGCAATACACCTTGGAAATGATAAAAATTATCGCTACTACAAATCGCAGCTGACAGCGGATATGATTTATATTTATATCTCATCATATTTTGAAATAATCATGTTGATAATAAAACGAAAACACTACACTTTTTAACATGAACAAAGATTAAACATTTGGTACATTTCAAACAAGAATATGTTACAAAATGTATTATTATTATTACTTGAAAATAAAATAGATACATTTTATATGCATAATCATTACAAAATAGTGCATTAATTTTACAAACACTTGGTTTACATATTGTAACGTTGTAAAGAGAAGTAACTTCGAATTTATTAACAAGTAACTGTCCCTGCTGACATGGATTTGAAACAATAACAAGCTGCTCTGGTATCACTGTTTTAGTGTGCATGATAGAATTGAGGCTGCAAGTTCAATTTTTAGATGTCTGAACATTTTTATCAGAAAATTCAATTAATATTGACGAAAAATAAAAGTGCACATCTTCAATTACCTTTCGATGACTATTTTCTTAATAGATGTAATATATCTGGATACGTCCTTTTCATGGGAATATGAGTTTAGAAACCTGTCTAACAGTATTAAAAAATGAATATCGTGTTATGTCAAAAAATGCTATTGAATTTCTATTGTCCTTTTGCACTACATATCTATATGAGAAATGATTATCTTAAAGATAAATACAGATACACGGTAAATGCAGAATCTGATCTAAGACAGAAGTTGTCAGATATTGACCCATTGCAGCGCATATAGAACAATTTCCCGAGATGCAGTTCAAATAATTGCTGGCATGCCATCAATCGAGCTCCTAGTTAGAGAGACATGTGAGAGGTAGAGAATAGTGAGCAAACAAACTGCCAGGCCTAGACTGCTGGAAAAGTGGCAGAAAAAATGGGATATCTCAGAGAAGGGAACATGGACTAGACGACTAATTCCAGAAATAGGTCCCTGGATTTTCAGAAAGCACGGTTAGACAACATTCCACCTGAGTTTTCTTGACATGGGTGCTTCAGCAAGTACCTGCACTTTATAGCGAGGAAGGAGGACGAAAAGTGCTGGTATTGCGAAGAAGACGAAGAACACACGTTCTTTAGATGCTGCAGATTGGTAAAGTTGAGCACGAGGAGGAAGCAAATATCGGAGAAGTGCTGGAACCGGAGACGTTCATTAGTGAGATGCTGAAGAGCCAATGATCTACCAGATTTTATTGTTTTAGAACGGGTTCGCGAGGAGAAAACGATCTTAACTACTATGCATTTTCTGATGAAACAAAAGAACCCTTTTTATTTATATGGTACTGCTATTATGATTAGTTTATAATATTATATAATGGATAATTGTTTGTATGACAAATTAAATACAAAATAACATGTCGTAGTGAAAAAAATGTTTTCAATTAAATTTTGTTGGTAGATAAATTTAGCAACATTTGCATTTCTTGAGTTTTTCTTTTAGAAGAATTATGTGGAGTTTGGTCGCTGAATCAATCTCTAATATATATTTTTATTTTTTTATAAATTAATCCAGAACTAGAGCCTGTTATCTGTTTTCTTTTTTTTATGCTTGTAGATAGATTGCTTTGAAAAAAAAAAAATTTTTATTAAACAATTTTATAAGTTTGACTTATATTATATAATAATTATTTTAACGCAAAATTAATGTTAATTAAAGATTAAATTAATCTAAAAATAATGGTTAGAAGATATTTGTTAATCTGACATATTTTTTACGAATGTCTTTTCAACAGATATTTGCATTGAAAAATAAATATGATATTGTATTAGAATGTATTTATGCTTTTTGTAGATTTTTATTAGATATTATTACCAATACTATTATTACCAAATAAGAAGAAATAAACAATGATTTTTTTTTCATAATAATTATAAAAATAAACATTTAAAGATTAATGCATTCCGTAAAGATGACATTGATAATGTTATTTATATCATACTCAGTCCCTTTGCCATTGTTAATAATTTGCTTCAAATAATTTCCAATAATAACACCAAGTTCTTTTGAGTTATTGTTGAAGAAAGTGTTCACTACCGTGCTGACCAAAGTGCCTAATATGCCACTGATTTTCACCTTTGAAAATTAAAATAAAATATAGTTATTATTTAAATAAAAATTGTATGTCGACAGTTTTTTTATAACTTACATCCACATTGCCAATTTTGGGACTGATTTGGAAATTTTCAACTATAATATCTCCAATTTGCAGATCAGCTGTGATGTTAACTAAAGCAACTAAATCAACAATAATGGCATTTAGTTTTCCATTTGAAATTGCGGGGAACCCATATATATGTGCATTCACATTATAATCAGCATCAATCGTTATTCTCGGTTCTATCAATTTGAAATTCAGCGTTAACTCATTTCCGTTAATGCTGATATCGACATCTTCTAAATTAAAACCGGAGATTCCTTGAAGCAACAAGTTTTTAAGATCTAGAGTACCGCTGTAACATTTAAGAATTAAAATGAATATATGTATACGAAGTTTAGTGTATCAATTATAAGTACCTGACTAAATTAATTCCGAAAGTAGCTAAATCTACACTTAATTCACTATTCAGTGGATCTAAAATTGGTATGCCAAATTCTGGCGACCCACTTTGCACTATATTCTTAAGACAAATTGAAATATCATTGATGTCTAATGATTCCTGCGATATAACCTGTTGACTGAGAACAGCGCAGCAAAGAGCAAATACTAGCAACTTCATTTTTTACTTAATGTTATATTTGATTCACTTTATATAGTATTTTTTTAGGTCGGAAAGTATATTATCTACCGTGCATATTTCTTTTTATCGCTTGATTGTGGTTTTACCAATATTCATAATTATGTAGCATAAATTAATATATAACGTTTATTTTTATAACACATAAGATATTAAATGCATAATTTAATTTGTATGTTATAACTTTCTTTAAAACATTAAACTAGGAAAATCAAATCTTGAATACATTATATAAAGTTGTAATTAAGAGTACGCTATATTATTTTTGAAATAATATTTGTTATTTTTAATATTTAAAACATTTTAATATTAAAAGTACATTTATTTTATTATTTATATACTTTATTCAATATTTATTATAACCAAATTGGATAATCTGTTGGTCCAAATGGGTAAATAAATAAAATTATAAAAAATATTTTTAATGTTCATTTTGAAAATATGAGCTCTGTCTTTAATACATTGACAGATGACACAACAAATATATATAGAAGAGAGCATTTCTGGGAAATTATAACAAGATTAAATTAAGGGATCAAATTTAAAAACGAAAAAAGTTAAACAAATAGTAAATATGTGAACCAAAATTATTATCGACGGATAAGAAGAAACAATTCTGTCTTTTACGTTCCCTTATAAATTGTAAAAGTGTAATTGAGATCAATAATTGAGATAAAAAGTGTAATTGAGATCAATAAATATAAAAAGAGAATATGTGTCTCACTAAAATTACCATTAACTCAATTTTTCCAAAAGTTCTACCACTTTAAAAAATAACGATTCATATATTGATATATAAAATTAAAATATATAAATACACTATGTACGCTTTTTTATATAAACAAATATTAAAAGTATAAAGTCCCGGAATTGATACAAGTGAAATAATCTCACTTCACCGTGTGTGAATTGGAAAACAGTTCCTAGTATCACAAAATTTCCAAACTTGTTTTCAGACATGTTATTTGTGTTTTTTTTTTAACAAAATTTAATAACACATAACAACAATCTATCAAGGACAATGACAAGCGGAGGATGGAGAGAGAAAGACAAGAAAGTCATAGTGGATACACATAGTAGCAAAGAGCTTGCTCAGACAATTTGCAGACAATGTCAAATGTCAAAACAACTGACCTGTATGCTGATGAAAAAGGAGAGAGATTTTAGTGCGGTAAGAATCCCACAGTACCACGAGAAGTTTCCTCTCATCTAGAAAAAAAAAGGCAAGGAGAATTTATTTAGCGACACAGAAAATAATAATTTCAACAAAATTAAATATACTTTATCAATAAAAATAAATAAATTCTTAAAAAAAACATTATAATTAAGTCAAAATGCGGATCCAAATTTGATAAACTCCTCATTTACCATTTCTATTTAATTTCTGTTAATGCGAAGAAAAATAATTTGCAAAAGTACGACGATCCAAAGTGCAACATAGATTTAATATCTGTAGTAGTTGAGAATATGAGCACCAAAGCGAAATGTAAAATTATGATAATACGAGCATAGAAAAAGAAGATTTGTGCATAGGATCGTTTTTAAAACGAATTAAATTTTCTTCCTTGGTCAATGGCAAAAGTGATGAAAAATACGTAGAAAATGATACAGAACCTCTGTACTGTCTTCCGTACTTTTGACAAAATTTCAATTGATAATATTTTGGTTTGCTCCTTATATGTTCAAATTTAAAATGTTCAACTTTTCAAATAGATCGTTGAGAAATGTTACTTTTAGCCACCAATTATCTCTTTTTATAAATTCAAATTCATAAATTTTGGTATTGAAGAAAGATATTATTTCAGTTCGCAAACATATAAATCGTGGGAATGCTTTTCCTTTCGAGAAAACAAACTTGTATTAATGCACCCCTCTCAAGATGACGTTTTTACAAGGTTAAAGACATCTCCTGTTGTTCTCTCCTTCAATTGACAATAAAAGAAAAACTGGCTTATAATTATAATATTCTTAAAAAGGAAATTAATTGAGCTTTGTAGCAATTTTTCGTAATTTCATCGATTTGTAGGGTCCACGAGTTATTTTTGAATATTTTGTGGCACAGAGTTTGACAGTCACTGCTTTAACGGAATGTCAAATTGGTCTTTTCAAACTTTGGTTTAGTTTTATTCTTGCTAAAACGATTCAAAGACGCTTTTGCATGCATTTGTTAGCAAATGCGGTAGCCATCCACAAAGCTTTTTCATCTTTAATACTACATGCAAAATTTGAAAAACTCTTGAAATGTTTATGGCATCAGCTTTTTCATGCACTTTCACTGGTCCATCATCTAATACTATATAATGTACTTTATGAATGTTACAGGTTTTTAAAGTCATTACTTCAATCATTTTCAACGTTTCTACGTCCACGTTTAAATTCTAAAGTCCAACTGTGGATAGTGGTATAAATTTCTGTTGCCAATAAACTTTCCAAAAGAAAGAATTTTATTACAGAACGATACTCGTGTTTTTCTATTTTAGAAACTTGCACAGACACGTTAAATTTTTTTGGATAGTATACAACAACTAATAAACAGATTAAAATATGTTTTTTACTATATGAAATTTTTTATTTTATTACTGGATTATATTTGTCGCTTTCAAAACTTTTCAAACTGCACTGGTATATACATATTTTTACTGAAAAAATGAAGATGTTTTACAGCATTGATACAAATACCAATAATTTATTGATTTATATTATTTATAGAAATTAGAAAAACTTTTATTCATAACAATTAGAAAATACGACAGTGATAATATTACTTATATCAGTGCCGTTTGTACTATTGATTATTTGCTTCAAATAATTTCCAATTATAAAACCAATTTCCTTTGAGTTATTGTTGACGAAATTATCCACTACCCAGCTAATCAAAGGGCCCCAAATGCCACCGATTTTCACCTTTGAATAATAAATAAAAATTAATATTTGTTATTAATTATAGTTTTTTCTTTTTAGCTTACATTCAAATTTCCAATTGTGGGGCTGATTTGGAAATTTTCAACTTGAATATTGCCAATTTGCAAATTAGCTGTGATGTCAACTGACGCAACTAAATCACTCAGGATGACACTTAGTTTTCCATTTCCAATTATGGGTAACACATATATAAGAGCATTAAAATTGTAATCAGAATTAAAGCTTATACTCGGTTCTATCAAATTGAATTTCAACGTTAACGCATTACCGTTAATGCTAATATCTACATCTTCCAAATCAAAATCGGCTAGTCCTTGAAGTATCAAGTTTTTAAGGACTAGAGTACCACTGTAACATATAAAAAAAATAAATAAATATATTTGTAGGAAGATTAGTTTATCAATTATATTTACCTAACAATGTCAATTCCGAAAGAAGCTAAATCTACACTTATTTGAGAACTATTTAGTGGATCCAAAATTGGTATTCCAAAATCTGGCAATCCATTTTGCAGTATCTTTCTAAGACAATTTGAAATAACGGCAATCTGATCATTGATGTCCACTGATTCCTGAGATATAGCCTGTTGGCTAAGAACAGAGCAACAAAGAGCGAATGCTAGCAGCTTCATCTTAAGTCAATAATTAACTTTTCTTTGTATACTTACAGTTAATTTTGATTCACTTTATGTTGTATTTTTTAGGTCGGAAAGTATCTTATCTACTGTGCATATAAATGTAGTTATTTTAATATTTATATTTCTTTAAATCGCCTGATTGTTTCACCAATATAATTATTTATGTATCATTAATTAATATAGAACGTTTAATTTTATAGACAGAAAATATTAAAAGCAAAAACAACGGTTCTATTTTTATTATTATCAACAAGCAATCTATTACAATACAAAGAAAATAACAATAAACTTTAAAATATCATAATAATCAAAGTACATTACATTACATCAGAAACGAGTAGGAAGACCCTGCGATTGGAATCGTTTCAGTTTACGTAGATTGCCCTCTGTGTTCCTCAGCTCTGTAAAAAGTTGATTCGGATGATCCTCCAGCTGATGACGATATCTAGTGCTGGCTCTAGTGCAAACTCTTAATTAACAAAGCCTTTATTAGTGGACTGATGGATAGAGTCATTTGTGGTGAACCAGTGAGAATTGGTCAATTGCCTCAAAGTTTTTGACTGAAATCTCTGGATGATATCTGATGAAATCTCTGCTTGAGTTGCATACACATCCTCAAAGTTGAATACCGTAGGTCCAAATCGATTTGATTCATGCCTTATACACGAATTCAGTTGAGACGCCCGAATATCTTCCCAGAATGCAATTTTCTAAGCGTCAGGCCGAGCTGTTTTCTTTTGGTAGCTATATGCGTCTTCCGCGTAAGACGTCTGTCAAGATGCATTCCCAGGTATTTGGAGTAGAATGCCGCCATTTAGGGTAACCGGGGGCAGGTTTAGCGACACATAGTGCAGGTTACATGGGCAGACTTCGTTTCCTTAGCCTTAATTCGTCACCTGTTCAGCCAGGTGTTGATGTTATTTACGCTGCCCTGAAGTACCGTGGCCTGCTATGATATTGGCAGGTCGGCTGTGAAGATACGATATAGCAGTGGTCCAGCCACGCTTCCCTATGGAACTTCGGACATTACCTCATCATTGTACGTGATCTCAAAGTTGATCAATGATTAACAATAACAAATATTGTTATTTATAGTAAAACACATTAACATTGAAGATATTTTCCGATACAGCAGGAGATATGAGTGTAGACATTTTTCAATATATTTATAATTTCCGTTTTTTTTTTGCAAAAAAAAATCGCAAGAAAATAGATTTTTTTCAGGAAAACGGGAATATATGAAAATTTTCTCTAATAATGATCTATTGTTGACATTTTAATACTATATATTTAAACCAGTCAGAAAATTATGCATTATCAATAATATTAAATCAATAAATAATTACCATAACATAATATACTATGATTATTTAAAAAAAAAATATAATAGATTACATAAATGAAGATAGACAACCCACAAAACATTTAATATAAGACGCTTATTTTTGGTAATATTTCAGTAAGTCATGAATTCATAATATTAATCAAGCCAACGTGAAAAATAATTTGAAATTCAAACACATATCATCGTGTAAAAGAAATAACTCAGACTAACAAATTACTACAATACCTCACACCATGCCGCTTGGTCTGTCCGGATTTACTACAGGGTAGTACAGGGTGCGTAAGGTATTTGAGGACAGATTTATAGTCGCCAAAAAATTAACAAATACTATAAAATAAATTAAGGATTAAACATATAACATTTCTTTGTAAAATCAATCAATAAAACCACAGTCAATAACTACCTCTATACAAGATCTAATTCGTCAACAAGCTTGAATTAAATGATTTTGATTCATAACAGATATTACTCTGACTATAGTTGCTTTTAAAGAATCTTTAGTAAATATCCAAGTGATTGAAGTCCGAAGATCCCAACTCTTTTTTTGCAAGTGTGCGCATTTATTTTCTGGGATCATGATTAATTGTTTGTTGCAGTGATTCTCAAATTATCAATCTGGTATGTTTTTCTACGCTTATCCATTCTTCAAAAACTGCTCTTTTCAAATTTTGAGGTGTAACGCTGATTTGCAAACAAATTCTGGCGTTCTCATTCTGTCAGAGCATTTATAATGTTTTTTTACTCTTGGTGATTTCTGATATGTTGCCATCTTTGTTTTCCAACTCCTTAGGATGATAATAGCGATTTTCAGAAATCACGATATTTCCAAATCTCCATGACCAGCTTTTAAAGCAAAAATTACAGCATGTCTTTTCATTCTTTGGCAATCTGGTGGTCTGCTACTACTTTTAAATTACTAACCTAAAAAGTAGAATTTCAAATTAGATGTCCTCAAATACTTTACGTATCCTGTATATATTTAAAAGAGTCCGGGATAGCGACGGAAACGATATTTTACCTGATTGGCATGACATGCATAAATATTAAGTTTATAATAAGAATTTTATTAAATTATATTTTGTAAGTGGTTCGATATTGTTCAATAAAATAATAATTTAATGCATGCTATTTAAATATAATTATTGTATAAAAACTTGAATGTACGTCAGTTTATCAAATAGATAATGCAATGATTAATTATATAAACAAGTAATATAATACAACAGGTGGATATTCAACGTGTACCCTACAATAGATTTAAGGATTATTCTCTAAAGACCTTTCCACATTGGAACGTATATTTATTATCAAATTTTTAGATAACGAAAGTATTAATTTGATAAAATTGTGATAAAACTGCAAAGCAATGCGCAGTGTTATAGTCCATCAAATTGCAACAATATTTGTAATATGGTATTGTTTGTAACATTTGTTTGGTTTAAAAAAAAATACTAAAATATTAAGAACTTTGAAAATGTTAATATCACTTCTTTGTAAAGTTACATAATAAAATCCCATTTACATTCTCAATTTCACTATTTTATATTTAATTATTTTACTTGCAGCTGCTAATTTACTATTAGAGCTATCGGTATAAGTACTTTTGCTGTTTATTTAATTAAATCGTCAATAATATTTTTAAATGTTTTGCACTATTTATATTCAAGTGTAAGATAAATTAAGTGATTCTAATCTAATCATAAGTTGACTCTAATATATAAATAAAAAAAAGATGCCCTGCTTCACGTTCTCCAATACAGAAATCTTAAGTGAAAATGAAAGTGTTCGCATTTTTGTTTATTGTTGCCGTAACGGTATATCCTAGTTGTTTGGCCAAAAGTAAAATGTGTTTAAAAAAAATTACAAAATATACTATTTTCGTATTCTATATTTGCAGATGACGTGGAAACATACTATTTGAAGGATAAAATCAAGGCAGCTTTTGAATGTGTTAGAGGAATAATGAAGGAAGGAATTCCTTCCGTCGGTTTACCTTCGCTAGATCAGCTCAACGTCGACGAATTAAACGTTGATTTGAATAAACTTGGAATTGAAAATGTCGCGTAAGTTTTTGTACATCTTTCTAGTTTCTGTTTTTGTTGAAATCAAGAATGTGTTCTTAGCGGATCGTTGAATGTGAGCGCATTGGAATTGAAAGGTTTGTCCGGTTTCTTTTTATCGAACATGGATGACAAAGTATCGGTGCTGCCGCCATCTTACGAATTGATAATGCATTTCAACGAACCCGAGTTGCTTTTGGAGACGGAATATGAAATTGAAGCGGAGATATACGGGATTTCCGTGACCGGAACTGGACGCGCTTCGATCAAAGTCACCGATTTGGTCTTGGATATTGGTTTCAAAGGGGAATTGGTTGCTAGAAAACCATACCTACATTATGCACATATTTATCCAACAATCGAAACTTTCAACGTAAACATTATTTGTTTCAGTTTTATTGATTTGCTGATAATTCGTGTTGATTTTAGGCTTCCATAACTGGTTTATTCGATGATGAAGAACTAAGCAAAACGCTTAGTGGCATAATTAGTGACACTGTGCTCGCAACAGTGAATGATAACTCTCAGGCGATTGGAGATCAAATTGGAGATTACATCAAGCAGATTATTAACAATGTGTATTCGGCGCTCCCATTAGATATCGGTGACATAATTGAAGCTATTGTTGATAAATGCTCTTAAATTTTGTTATGATCATTTTAAAAACTAAATCCCAAAGATTAAAACTTGTGTAGAATAAATCAATATAATTGATATAAGTATTTTTATTTTTTTTTTCCTATATAAACTTAAGAGTTTAACATATTATAATATTATATTAATATGCTTTAAATTATATTTTATTCATATATAAAATAAATGAGAAATGTTTTTGATGTATTTTTCTTATTTATTATTTAGTTATTAAGTATAAAAAAATACTTTAATATTTTATTACAAATAATATTGAGATACTAAACTTTAATCATAATATATTTATCTAAATTATAACTTTTGTGCTTTTTGTAGATTTAAATATTTTTGTCGATTGTTAAAGTACTTATTATTGTTGTATTGGACATTGGAATTGTTTATCTAATTTAATGATATAATATCGAACATAAAAAGTTACCTTGATGCAATTATAATCTAATCTATTTTTAACAAAATGAAATAAATTTAAATAGAATCCATATTTATGTCATTGTATTAATTAATGTAATACGTTCAAATTTATAAAAAAATTCTATTAAATTATTTAGAAAAATGGATGCTTATGTATAATAATTGACCAGTCAGATCTGGATTATCGAAAATGATGTATAAAAATATCAAAAATATCATTTTCAAATAAAAAAAAAACAATTTTTGATTATGTTAAATGGGACATGACTAAAATCTGATACGAAAGTTGACTCTAATATATAAGAAAGTTCCATCAACAATAAAAACTGTAAACATTGTGCGGGTTGATAAGCGCCGAAAGTACATTTTTCAACAAACTAATTCAAGAAGTTTCTATTCCTAGACGGCCTTCATCCGTTATCAGGATAAGCGTCGTTTTGAAAATACCACATCCTCATCAATCCTATATCACCAGAAACCTTTCAAAAATTTTATACTTTTAGTAATAATTTGTAGATCAATATTTGCTCAGGATCAATTAAATTAAAATTAAAGGTTATCACTCAACATCGATATAAATCAAATAATTATTGCTGTTGGTCAGATTTTTGTATTTCAAAGTGTTCACAAAATAATAATACCAAAAATATATTTTCAAAGCATTTGAGCAATTTGCAAAAGTATTTACATCGCACTTTATGAATTATTTAATATAGGAAGAACATAGCCCTTATATTTTTAATACAACGTATAATCACATTTCTAGAAATATTCAAATATTTTCTTATGTGAAGAATTTCCACTTAATTCCAAGTAAACTTTCGAAAAAAAGAATGAACTCAAAGATATTATTATAAAAAATAAAATAAAAAATCTTTATAAGTCACCAATTATAACCAAAGGGCATATATATTATTATATTATTTCGTAAATTGTATTTTCTTGCTGACTGTCTATTTACAAAAATATAGGTTTTGCAATTGTTACATTAGGTTTAAGAAAGTTTTTGCACGACTCAAGGCGATTTACTAATAATGTATGTAATTGACTACAACATACTTTTAGTTCATTCATTCTAACTGGCAATTTAATTGAAATATCTAAGGTTTACAAATTATAATTCCCAGCAGGATGTTCGTGTCCTCAATTACCGTCAGAGGAATACGCACATTTTATACTTTCCAACGAAGACAAGGTTAATTATATAAAAAGTCATCTTGCATACAAAGTGAAATCACATTTTAAAATGGGTCTTGAAATTGCAAAGTTCGTTATATCGAAGCTTCATTATTGTAGATTAAGTTAGCTGAGGCATGACTGTAATTATTTATAATATTTATTTCATATTTTATTTGTATTAACTAATGAAAAATAAACAACATTTTGTAATACATATTTGGATTGATCAAAAACATACTTGATTACCTTGAACCAATCTGATAATTTTATAAGAAATCACTTCGAATAAAGACAGATCCATTACAATTTAATTAACAAAAATTGAAATTGTTTTTTTTTTCGCTTGGGATTAAGATAAAATCATATCTCGTGTACTAGGTATAAATCCTGTATATCAGGATCAATAAAATCAGAACATCCCAATAAATTAAAATAGTATATTACATTTCTAAGCGATGATCAAGAACATAGTCTGTTTTGTTGTTTTGGGTTTCGTCTCAATTTCAACAGCGAATCCATTGCTTGGTAAAACTCTTCTACTTAAATAAATAAAACTCGATTTTAATAGTAATCTTGCAGGTTTTCAAAGAAATGATTTTTTGGAGGCTATAATTGAAGATAGCTTGGATTGTCTACGCGTTTTAATCAGAGATGGCGTGCCTGAATTAGACATTCCAAGCTTAAATCCAATCATAATTGAAGACCAAGATATAAACTTTAACGATTCTTTAATCACGTAAGTTAATTGGTTAGAGTATAATTTCGTTATAATTATAACATTTTTCGTAGAGGAAATTATAAATTAAATTCGTTGAAGCTTGAAGGTGTACCTAATTTTGAAACAAGAAAAATTAAATTTGAAGGTTTCGAATTGAATTTCAATTTTTACGCAAATCTATCTTTGAAAGGATTCTATTCTGGCGAAGGTTTGATTGAAAATAACCTGCCTCTAAATGGAATTGGAGAAATTGAGTAAATATTTAGAAAATAATATTTTAATTTTTGTATTAAATCTTTTTTTTTTCAGTTTAAACGCTGAAGTCTTTATTGATGGTAGTACTGGATTTTTGATAAAAGACGGATTAAAGTTAAATGATTTTCAAATTTATTTAGCAATTATTCCTAACGTAATTATTATAATGGTAATATATTGTTTGTTTTAATTGCATTACAATTTTAGATGAAAGTGACTGGAAGCCAGGAAAACGAAGAAGTTTGTGCAATTTTCAGTGAAAAGTTGAATGAAAAATTCAATAAGGATATCAATAATAATCGAGAATCAATCAGCCAGATCCTCAGTCCAATTGTTGAACAGTATCTCAATAAGTTCACAAACATTACATCAACTCCAGAAATAGGAGAAATGCTGGAAATTATTGTTAGGAAATGTAGATAATTGCAACTAATATAAATAAAATTGTTCATCATTATTGATAACTCCCAATTGATTAGATTTGAAACCTCCTACTTTTTTTTATCAATGCAAAGATAACAAGTCATTAACGGTTATAAGTAATGTGAAATGATCATAGATAATTTTATTATGATGGCAGCTGTACAAATCTTAGCTCTACTCCTGCTGGCTCTTTGCAGTCATGCAGCGGATGGTAAATATAATTAAAATAATTTCAAACATTTTTTAATTGTTAATCATTTTAGATCTGCAAAAGGAAAACCAGTTTATTGATAAATATCTGGACATTGAATTGTTACCTGATCCATTAGAAATTGCTGACATTGACTTAACTTTGACCGAAGATTTAATTGCGTAATTGGGATTGGAAATTTTATGTATATTTTTTTTTAATTATAATTTATTTTTAGTGGAAAATTGAAAACCAATGGCTTAGTTCTTACAGGTGGAAAAGCTTTAAAACTTGACATTGTAGATTTTAAAGATTTTAGTGGTAATTTAAATTTGCATCTCACTGGGAATTATTTTGCTGATGTTTTGATTCTGAAGCTTGTACCAATCACCGGAGAAGGCGATTTAGAGTAAGATACATTTTTGATTCTATTGATAAATTTCTATTAACTATTTTTCAGTATCCAAGCTGCCATTAACCTTGCTGGTCATTTAGATATGAGTGGTGATTATATGCTCAATTTTTCTGAATTCAAAGTAATCCCAATAGTAAGTACCCATAACAATAAGTTAGTTTAAGAAATATTATTAAAAACAAATATATTTGTAGATTAAAATCACTGGATTAAAGGGAGATGAACGTATGAGTAAGCTGATTAGTCGTCAGTTAACTGACCTTGTTACAGAACTCATAATTGAATTTGAACAACCAATTTGCAAGTTTCTAACTTGTTTCATTGAAAAGAAGGATCTTAACCTGTGCTTATCTGGTTCTACAACTAACTTCTATTCTCAGTTGCAAAACATTTTAATTGCAAAATAAGTTGATTTTAAATTAATCTAATATTGTTATTTGTATAAATAAAATTTTAAAAATTATAACATAATTGTTTTATATTTATAAATTGAAGATTTATACATTGTACCTTTCTCAAAAAATATATAAACAATACTTTAATATATAGAATTAATTTTATAAGATTATAGATAAATACAATATAAATAGCATTGTTTGATGATGATAACATCATGTTGATAAGATTTATATTCCATTTTTTTTTATCAAAGATAACATATTTTTATATTACAATATATTAAATATATATTCATGTTAATTCTTAAACAAATTATGAAATTAATAAAGTAATTTTAGACACCAAACCTCCTACCCCCGCTGTCGCCATCGCTGTTCATTAATGGCAGGTTTACTTTACGGCATGAAAACTCATATAGTGGGAATACTTCGTAAAAATCGTACAGTTTACCATAAAGTTATTGTTTCAACAAAGTTAACTTAAAAAAACATTGGTCTGAGAGCTTTTATGGACAGTACGCTTCAAGTCAACCTGTCAACGTCAAAATATGTATTTTTGAATCCCAATTTCGCTATACTTTTTCAAAACAGAAAAGAAGGTTGTCGACCTTCTAAAACAGTGGTTCCAAACCCAGTTCGTGGATCAAATGGTACCGGGCTGCCCAATTAACATCAAAACAATCTAAAATATTAACAATAAACCCCTCAGCAAGCAGCGGTAAAATTATCAAAGGTTGACCGGTCCGCAGTGATAAAAGGGTTGGGGAGCATTGCTCTAAAAGACAAGATTAAGGTTTATACAAAATAAAATTATGAACGTCTATACAAAAGAAAATTTAAAAAATGCTAGCTGGGTTTAATATTGTTAAATTTAATCCCATTTATATGCCAGATGCAAATTTGTGTTATAATGTTGATGTTTTTCAATAAATAGTTAATTATGTTTTAAATCTAGGTTAAAGAAAAGTTTATTTTTGTTGAAAAAAATTCTTTAAAAAACTGGTTTTGAAAAACCGACAAACCGTAGACTTAAGATATGTAAAACTTCTATTAAGTAAATATACTTTGCTCCATTAGTACTTTTGCTATAAAATACTTACCTTGGAAACTATAGTATCTCAATATCTTAGTATGCAAGCATAGTTTGTACCGGAAACATGTTCGTAATTTTTTCGTTGTTTTTTCGAAAACTCTCGGAAAAAAACTTTAAATATTATATATTACTGAATCTATTGCGTAGACGCATATTTGGTTGCCTATTACATTATATTCAATGATTACATGTGAACAAGAAAATAGTAATTTCATTATAGCAAAATAAACTTAAAAGATATAAATTCTATATAACATATTGTCAAAGAATATTAATCTTGGTCTTGTTTTTTAATGTGTTTATTATTTTTAGATCTTTTTTATTTTATTTTATATTCTATTTTATATATATTAGATGGAAATAATGTCGTTTATCTACAATAAATTTAAACCACCCTCGTTATCAACAATATTTTGCCAACTAGTGTTTAAATTTTCAATGCCGGGTCGATAAAAATCAATTAGTTTTTGAGTAAAATATCTGGAGATGGCATTTTGGATATCTTCATTTATTTTTGTCAAATAGAAAAATTATTTACAAGTAAACAAGTCACTTTAACCTTAAAATGTCTTTGACTAGGCTTATAAATATTTGCAATGTTAATTAATAGATTTCAAAAAGATATGCCAATGTTTCAATTGAAAGGATAGACTTTTTACTTTGGAAAATATGAAAGTGTTCATTATTTATACAACTTATTCTTACAATAGAAAATAAAAAAAATATATAAATTATTTTATATACATCAATACCTCAAATAGTCTGGGTAATAATCTAAAGCAAGGGTCCATAAATTTTAAAACGGCGGGGTAAATTCCAATATTTTTCTGGGATATACAGAATTTTAATTGCTGAACTAATTTTTTCTGCATTTGGAGTAATTTATCGGTTCGACGACCACTCTTCTAAAGTATGTTTGTAATAATCCTTGCATTTGAATATAATATTTTATGAAACCAAAGGCCGAATTTACTGTATATGGATATAAGTGTATATGTATATCAATAGATTGTTGTCTTGATTAACAAATATTAGTGATGAATCAGAATCGCTTAAAGAAATTGCACAAATATTAGTTAAGTTGTAATTAGTATTTTCTATTTGTATTTTTTATACAATGAATGTTACTTTATTTACTTATTAATTAAATTTTAAAATTTGTTCCTGTTTTAACAAAATACATGTAAAACAATTAATTATTAAAGCATAGTCAAAACATTGCACGCCAAGCGATTGTAGATCAATAATTACTTTAATTTTTAAAACATGTCTCATGACATTTTAATATCTAAAAAACTTCACGTTCCAACAAACTTACACCATTCCATCGTGTAATGGTATTTCTCTGATAAACGTCTATATTTCAACTTAATAGCAGTCACACTGTTTTATGTAAACAGATGTTTTTATTAATACCGATAACAACTCAATCGGACATGAACCGAAAGCAACCAAATGTTTAGAATGACAAGTTAATCGCTCGTTTTGCAATGCGAATATATCCTTACCTGAGTTTTAGAAAAAAATTCAAACATTGTAAACTGCCTCATATAAATTAGTGCCCAACTATAAGACTGTCTGCGCAAATCAAGAAAAGTAAAATATCTAGGCATGATTCTCGACAGAAGACTCACCTGGAAAGACCATATATAGGCTAAGAGGGAACAATTAGAAAACTCTACTGGCTTCTAGAGAAAATTATTAATGATAAATAAATTACTTATATACAAAGTAATACTGAAAAACATATGGACGTATGTAATCCAATTGTGGGGTGCTGTCAACAAATCGAACATACAAATTATACAAAGGTTCCAAACAAAATGCCTAAGAAATATTATAAGGACTTCATGGTTTATCAAGAATAAATAAATACACGAAGATCTCCATGTAGATATAATGAAATCACATACAAATGTTCAGGCTATTTGTCTGCTCGACAACAGAGAAACAACAAATAGTCTTAAGCGTTGCAATGCACTAGAGTTAGTATTTAGACTTAAGTAATTATTAATGTTCAAAATCATCAGAATGGTAAATAATCACCGGGAAAGTTTGTCCATTTAATGTCAACTGCGGTTAAATTTACTTATTGTTCACAATGAATAGTTATAAATAAAATTATTAAGACTTAAAAAAAATATATAAATTAGCATTGATGTACGAGCATGTTTCCGGAACGAATTATACTCGTAAATCAAGATATGAATGCTTTGTGCATTCCCGCCGCCAGATATCATTGTATTTTCAGACAGTTGTACGTTAGTTCGATCAGCGTTCCATAATTAGTCATGTACCTATTGTATAACATAATCTAAATAAGCGTTGACTTTATTTTATTTGTATTTTTGATATAAAGTTTTGAACGGATCCAGGATCAAGATTTACAATAAAAATCACTATCAATTTGAATGATGATAGTGACTATCAGATGTCTGTTTTGGTTACCCAGAAGGACCTTTTTGGCTGGGCCCTATTCCGAAAAGCAAGGTAGTGAGATGGCACGAGCATAGATGGCGTCCAGTGGCAATGCAGTAAATCGTGTAAAAGTCCTCTTTGCCAGGATCAATTCCGGTTTTTGGTTGGGCAGGACGATTTTGAATTTGGGCAGGCCTACGCTCACAGGCAGCAGCACACACTGCCTTTTGGGACCGCGTCGCGTCCCTCCATCCAATCAATAACCAATCCTGTCTCGCAACCGTTTCATTACGGACAAAAACCGCAGCAACGTTCATCCCCCTTTCTCCAGTTTTATTAATCCTAACCCTGTAACCTACAGCACCAGCACGGGGTTTGCTGTACGCGTGTGCGGGCGTGACGTAACAGCGCCGGGACGGCAGTGCAGCGGCAGACTTAACAAGTGCACCAGCGTCTTTCGACTCTATTATTTATCATGCAAGACCGCAGTAACAGTTAAATATCCAGAGTGCTTGTGAGCCGTGCCAACTACTGCCCAACTTCCGAAAAATAAGAAATAAACAGAAAAAAAGTATACAAAACATTCAGCACAGAAAATAAGCAACACCAAGCAGCAGAAAAGAGAGAATCTTCGCAACTGGCAAGTTAACTTCTTAATATTTTTTACACGCAAAATATCGTTCAACTTTTAAATTTCGCTAAAACTTTTTTTGCCCGAAAACTTCATTATTCAAATTAGTAATTTTTCTAAAATAACAATCAAATAAATCACGAGTTAACTAACTTACTCAATTTAAACTGTAAAGCAATATTTTCAAACCAAGTTATTTCAAATTTTGTTTTCAAATACGTTTTTCACTATTTTAGAGAATACAATATTATAATTATCTTCTTAAGTTTTGTTTGTTAATGTTAAGTTAAGTTTGAAAATGTACACTTTCCTATTTTATTAATATATAAACTATTTATTATTATATCAATGTAAAAATGAAACATTTAGTTTCTAAAAATATGTATGTATGTAATAATATTCAATACATAAATTAAGTATAACAGTAAGATATTTCATATATTTCTAATATAAAGAAATATTTGTTTCTTATTTACAACTATAATAAATTCGTTGTAAATACTAGTATTTGTGGAAAAACCATACACTTTGCATTGTGACTAATTTTAAAAAATAAAATTTCTGAAAAAAAAAATGGAATATCTTTAATTATGTTACGAATGTTAATTTATTTTATAAAAAGTATTAATATACTACAAAAAAATCAAGAAACACTAGTGTTCACGAAATTACAGGATTTGTAAGTTCATTATAATAAATCTTAATTAAATAAATTTTATAACTTTTGCCTAAATATCATATAAGAATTTGGCAATATAATAACAATCAAGATATTTATTAAAAAAACACAATTTGAACTTACTTAAGTCATATTTATTTGGGTACATTGTGAATATACACTTGGTACTCTTTTTATGCGGTAGATACGTTCCTCAGGAAAAATAAATCGCACAAAA